GCTCGCATAACGCAGTTGGCCGTCTTCCTTACGCTTTCCCTCTTCAATATCTTTGGGGCACAGCTAGCCCTTGCAGCGGAAGATGGTCCCGGCTCGGCTTCCATCTTGACCTCCGAGGTCGGTCGCCTCAACAACGAAAGCTTGTTCTGGGGTCCCTATAAGTCGAACCTGTACTTTGGCGTCCGCAACAGGTCCCCCAAGAGTCTGTGGACTGGATTGATGTGGTCCAGAGTTGATAACTACCAAGACGTTCAGCAAGGTATGTTACATAGTGCTATCTTCAGACATATATATGTAAAGACTAACAAGTGTAGGTTTCCGCTACACATGCGAACAGCATGAAGGCCTCCATGGCTATGGGTGGGACGAGTATGATGCCCGAAAGGGAGGCATCCAGTCCATCCACGACGAAGGCAACCAGATTGACATCACCACCTCGTTTGTCAAGGTCCCCGGTGGAGCCAACGGCGGTAGCTGGGCTGCAAGAATCAAGGGCGTTCCGAGAGAGGGTGCACCCGATGATCTGAAGACCATGATCCACTACTACATTGCCGAGGACAACAGCGAAGCAGAGCTTGCATTTTCTGGCGAGAACGACCCTGCCGGCTTCGATGGCGATGTCGCATTCCAAGGTTCTTCTCAGGAGCTCGGCAAGTACAAGCTGGTCATCACCAAGGGAGAGGGCAAGCACCCTTCCAGCAGCCACGATTTGTCCGAAAAGAGGCACCCGGACCGCACGACGGTACGATCTCTGACTGTTCCCGAGGAGCATCAGTGGCAGGGCAAGGGCGTTGTTTTCAACCTCATCCAGGAGAGCGTCAAGATTGTTCAGGAGAACTACGAGATGAACGAGCCGCCTCCGGCATATCTCACCTACCAGATTGAGAACAAGCCTGGTGAAGGTAACACGCACGTTGTCCAAAAGATGTTTGAGGGAGCCTTCGAGTTCGACGTCATCTTCTCGTCTGTCTCTGCTGGCCCGGAGCTCACAAGTGCCGATGTCACACGCGAGATCAAGTCGGTCACCGAATTATTTGGAGAGCGTTTCTCTTCCGTATTCAGCCTGAAGGCTCCGTTCACTGCCGACAAGTACAAGAAGTTCGCTAAGAGCATGTTTTCCAACCTGCTTGGCGGCATCGGCTACTTCCATGGTTCGCAGCTGATCGATCGCTCGTACGCCCCCGAGTACGACGAGGAGAACGAAGGCTTCTGGGAGGAGACCGCTGCTGCCCGCGCACGCAAGCAGCAGGAGTTGGAAGGACCCTACGAACTCTTCACGGCTGTTCCCTCTCGCCCCTTCTTCCCTCGAGGATTTCTCTGGGACGAGGGTTACCATCTTATCCCCATCGCCGACTGGGACATTGACCTGACCTTGGAGATCGTCAAGAGCTGGTTCAACACCATGGACGAAGACGGATGGATTCCTCGTGAACAGATTCTCGGTCTCGAGGCTCGGAGCAAGGTACCTGAGGAGTTCCAGGTCCAGTACCCGCACTACGCCAACCCTCCCACACTTTTCCTCATCATTGAGGGCTTCATGGAGAAGCTGCGCAAGACCAACGGCAGCCAGCCCGCCGAAAAGGAGCATCTCGGTCCCCAGGCTTCCCTGCAGACCGCCCACCTGGACAACGTCGAGCTCGGAGAGGAGTTCCTCCGAAGGCTGTACCCGTTCGTTCGCCAGCAGTACGACTGGTTCCGCAAGACCCAGCGAGGAGACTTGAAGACCTACGATCGCGACGCGTTCTCGAACAAGGAGGGCTACAGATGGCGCGGCCGCACCGAGACCCACGTGCTCACCAGCGGTCTCGATGACTACCCTCGTCCCCAGCCCCCTCACCCCGGCGAACTCCACGTCGACCTCATGTCCTGGGTTGGATTGATGACCAAGTCGCTGATGAACATTGCCGACGCTCTTGGCATGACGGAGCAGGTTGACGAGTTCAAGACGACCCTCAACGCCATCCGTCGTAACCTGAACGACCTCCACTGGTCCGAGAAGGAGGGCTGCTACTGCGATGCCACGATTGATGCCTACGAAGAAAACACCCTCGTCTGCCACAAGGGCTACATCTCGCTGTTCCCCTTCTTGGTCGGCCTTCTCGAGGCCGATGACCCCAAGTTGGGCAAGCTCCTCGACCTTCTCGGCGACGAGGAACATCTCTTCAGCCCCCACGGTTTGAGAAGTCTGAGCAAGCAGGATGAGTTTTACGGCACGGCTGAGAACTACTGGAGAAGCCCCGTGTGGATGCCCATAAACTACATGGCCGTTTCTCAGCTGAGAGTAAGTTACCGACCCATCTCCTACGGACAAGAATCTCCATCACTGACTAATACCATAGAACGTCGCCTCCCAAGATGGCCCTTACAAGGCCAAGGCCGCGGACCTCTTCACCCGCCTCCGCAAGAACCTCGTCGACACCGTCTACAACAGCTGGGAGAAGACGGGCTTCGCCTGGGAGCAGTACAACCCAGAGACGGGCGAGGGCCAACGCACCCAGCACTTCACCGGCTGGACGAGCTTGGTCGTCAAGCTCATGGCCATGGAGGAGCCCAGTAAGGCCGCCGCCGGCGGCAGCGGCCACGTCAGGGACGAGTTGTAAATCACGTACCCTTTTCTGTTCATCACACAGAACGCGCGCATCTAGGAGAGGCATGCATGTACGAAGCAAGAAGAGAGCCACAGGAAAAAGCATAGTGTGATTTTCGGGCGGCATTGCTGATTTGAGAAGGTATGGGAAAGCCCGTCCTGGGAATGAGATTACGCAAAAAGGCCGCTTTGGCTGGCTTTGAATTGTACATGCAGGGTCCCTTTCCCCCCCATTTCCGTGAATGTGTTTCAAGGAGAAGGAGATGCCTTCCTCGGCTTTGCCGAACTTTGATAGACTGATGTGAGTGTGAGTAGGTGGGTGGTGTGCTGACAATTCCATGTTCGGTCGAGGAGTGTAAGCCCCAAGTACCCAAAAAGGGACAGATGTGTAAGCCGTCCTCAAGTCAGCACACACACACACACACACGTACACACACCGCATCTCCGCCGATCAAATCGAGCATGGAAGCGACGGGCAGTTGCGTAAGCATTCGCGTCTGTCATCGCTTCAAGATCGTCGACTTTTACTGACAGACTGAGGCGGGTAGCCCTGCCATCCAAACTTCCCAGGTAAGACCGGTCATGTATGGTCCTTTTCGCCGCCCATACATAGCAAGTCCGTACAGTGCAAAAGGCCCCCCTTGGCCGCACCAAGACATTAATGACGACTTGCAACACACAGCCACTGAAGAAAGTATTTCCCACCGCGTCGATATCCGCAGACGAAACTGACTAAAAGTGACCCCGGAGTCGGGTCCGCCTTGGGGGGGGCCAAATGGTCGTCTAAGACGCGGGATCGCCCGCGGAGGAGCGAGCCGAGTGAAGGATTCCAAGACAAGAGGCTTCTAGTAACACCTCGAATCCTCCCCCTGCCAAACCCTCGAGAGGGCTCTCTCTCTGCCACGGGATACCCTAGCAGAACTCATGGTCCGTGGGTGTGACAGTTGGGCTAAGCAAAGTCCTAAGCCATGGTATCACCTCCCTTGCTCGCATAGCATTCTTAGTCCTCTGACGTTGTTCCTCACCTCCTTGTGTCGACGGTGAGCATGATAAGACGGGGGTCGCGCGGACCAGGAAAGATTGCCGCGCGCGCCCAGGGTGTTAAACAGCCTCGGCGGCCCGCCCGATGTCAACGAACTTACCATGCGGTACCATGTTACAAGTCTTCTTTCCCAAATATGCCATGCAGACACACACACATCCACACATACAAACCTTCGTGTCACCCTCCAAGTTGATTCTACTTCCCCTTTCGGAAGCCTGTAAGGCTGACAAGGGGGGAGGCGAAGGAAGGGTTCCGTTTCACAGACACGAGGTCTCTCCCTCTCTCTCTGCATTTGCTCTGGTTACGTTGCATCGGTAGGCTGTGTACATGCGTTTCTCCTTTCGTTGACCGGGCTGGCAGGACCGCTGTGGAACTTGAGTCTTGGCTCAGTGGTCAGCACCAGCACCACCAGCATAGGAACGGTGGTGGTTATGCAGGTCGTAGGGCTGGGGCGGCTCAAGTGAGACGTCCTCAATCAGGTTAGGCTTCGCGCCTTCCAGGCCAGGCAGCCGTGAATTGGGGACAGAAAGGTATGGTTGTTTCACATTTCCAAGCCTTTCTTGGACGACTTCAGGTTGTTTTTGGTGGCTTGGGGGGGGTTCGCTAGGAACCATGAAGATCTTGGCGGGGTGGATGCCTTGATGTACATGGTTTCGCAAGCCGTAACTACGTATGTAGGACTTTCGGGGTCCAAGGAATCTCGGTAGCTGATGAGTGTGTAAGTTGTACATTGTCTAAATGAAATAGGACAATCTAGTTCGAGGCTCCCAGAAATGCAGTGAGCATTTTTACATCAGCATGTTGCTAGACTTCCCCTGCCTTTTGTCTACAAATGTGATCTCATGGTAATTGTGACTTGAGGAACCCCTCGCCTCGGTTGCTTGTACTCTTCTCGACTCCGACTCCATTAGCATGTGCCAACGGACCTTGTAAGTACATGACTACCAACGACACATGAGCTTCCTGTGAAGGTTAACCGGGAATTCTTCCTCTGCGTTGTTCTTCTCTGCGTTAATGAATAATCAGATGCTCAGGTACAACGGGAAGAGGTATGTCCGCCGTCAGCTTCATTCCCGACCAGAGGAAGCTTCCAGGTCTCTTCTATTCCCAGACAAGGTCCTGCGTCCACAAGAGCTCGATGCCCACCGCCGCAAGGAGCCGTCGCGTCGGTTTCTCCATTGCTGCAACCCTGCCCTCATGTCCGGGCGCTTCGTACTCGGACACCCCAATGTGGATGAGCTTGAGATATGCGGAAACCGTGTGGGGGCCACGTCTGCCAGGTACTTCATCGTCCCTCCCATCACGAAATGAAGGTATCGGATCCTAAAAACAAGAATAGACGGCGGTAGCAGAGATGCCAGTCTCGCTTCAGGGGCATAAGGCGTGACGACGTCCCGGATCAACCGGCAGTCGAGTGACAGTTCTTCCAGAGCTCCGTATAATCGCCACCGCTCGCCTGTGGCGGTACTTGACATCCCAAAAGTTCATGCCATGGTGCGGCTTGAGGTGGTAGGATACGTGAAGGCTCTTGAGTCGGTTTTGCACTGGCTTGAGGGCCGTTCGCCAGGAGTAATCGTAGTTCTGGTTGGTGATCTCGAGGTGTTCGAGGCCAGGAAGACAAGTCAACAGCTCCTCCAAGTGATTGTCCCGTATTCCCGAGAGTGAGAGGCTCTTCAACTTTGTCAAAAAGTTGGTGGGGTCTTTGGACGGGAGCGTGTGGCGCTGCATCAACCACAAGCCCCCTGTGCTAGCATGAATAGATTCGACGTTTGGAAACATGGTCTGCATCGCGGCAAAGCCGAGATAGTTTGCGGTCTGTCTGAGTGGGCCGACTATAACACCCAGACGACGGATCGAGGGCATTTCCAGCGTCAGCCAGCTTGTTTCGGGCCAGATAGGGTCGTTGTCACTGTAGCTGACGAGGAGGCTTTGCAAACGCGGACAGGACTGGATAGCCTTTACCAAATCTGGCATCTCGCCCTCCAGCAAGCTATAGTCCATTGCTGGCATCAGTGCCTGTGGCTTCCTTGAATGTTGATCGTATAATGTGCTGGCAGCTGTCCACACTTTGGGGGGCACTTCTGAGTCCGACAGACTGCTGTCGGAGTCTGAGGAGTCGGGTGACGAGAGGCGATAATTAATGGCCAGGTCTCGGGATGCAACCTGCATAGAATCCACGTATGAGGCCAAGTCAGGTCGCTGCTGGATGGTACGAGTAAATTCCTGAATCAGGCTTGGTTGGGGGACAATATCGAGAGCCTTTTGCCTGGTAAGAACTGTCTGTCTAAGATGAATATTCCCCGTCGCATAATAGTGGTACAAGATCGGATAGGCTACGGCAGATATGCGCCTTGACGTTCTGCAAAGGAAAGCCAATGCTCTCTTATCGTCCCGGATCTCTGGTGTATCTGCGTGAGGGAAGGCGGCGGGGTCTCGACAATGCATGCAGAGGTAGCTAGCTGAGTGTGATTTGGAGGACTTCAACAGGTAGAGACTCCATCGCGCCAACTTTTAATTCATCGTGAAGCGGAAAAAGCAGTAAATGTCAAGACAAGTGAGATAGGTCGTAGGAGTTGAAGAGGAATTCTAGAGGGAGAAAACATGAGATATTGGTAAAACTCCTGATGCAGTAACCGTACGGCACAGGTACCCGGCTCCATAACGACGGCTCAGTATCGTGTTGGTCACATTGTGTTGGAGCATTGTGTTGGTGGCGTTGGTTGTCTGTTGTTGTTTGTCACTTGGCAAACGAAATTAAGCGCCCACCTAGATTGGAAGGAACAAGGACGAGACGTCGCTATCGCACCTATCCAGAGTGCCGTCTTTCTTCTCCGATGTCTTTTCGTAGATTTTCAACAAAATCGTCAGTTGAAGTTTTCGACGCGATTGTAGTTGAGTTAGTCGGAATATCGACGGTAGTTGAATGTACACGGGAAGGATTTGGGTTCGAACGGGAGAGGCCAAGACGTTGGAGGAGGAGGATTGGATGGGCCGCATAGAAGGTCCGGGCGCCGGCCCCTAGCAAGGACCTGCCTCCTTCCAATGCGAAGTACGAACCTGCCTGCCGTCCGTGCCTGCCCGCCCGGGGGGCGCAAAGCCCAGACCCTCTGTGGCCCATGTCCTCCTTAGTCATCCAAGACCGTATATACGGAGTACATATGGATGAGGCAGGCACGCAGGTTAGAGGAACTTAGGGAAGGCCCCATGGCCCCCAAATCACAACGGCGGGCAATGGGTGGAATGTCGCACGTGGCTTCAAGCGCACCGGGCACTACAACTCCAGGTTCCTTAGGCAGCTGCTTGAGCTTCATGAAGGGCCCCTTTTGGACCCCAACATCCCAATCGCACCTCCGTTCATTTCGTCCCATCTTACGCCTCCAACAACGACATGTCTTCGAAAGCAGCCTCTGTGACTATCTTGTTGGAGGTAACGCGAACATGTTGGCGCTCAAAAGATACACGAGAACTGCAGAGACTAGTCTGCCCATCGAAAAGCCTGATTTAGATTGGCAACAGGGCTCATGGAACTATTGCTTTGCATCCGCTGACTCACAGTGACTTCTATTATTTCAAGTCTGTCGAAGGATCGTGGGCCTGCAACCGAGTACATCTCTTTGCCCGAAACACGAACCTTGCGGCAATAGCAGTCGTATTCTGTCATATCCGTCGCCCAACGCTGTCGATGTACCTCTGCAATCAGAATTGCCAATGACTTCACAACTTCGGTCTTGTCCGATCCCTGATGTACCCTAGGCCGTCTTGGGCATACTCGGTCAAGCACATACCTACTGCGTATGCTTCGGCATCACAAAACAGACATGATGACTACAGCAATCACTCGATGCCTTGTCGATTGAGGCCAAAGGATCTTAGGTCATCTCCAGATGCGGACCAGCACCGCCTTCTGCCGTCGCTCCGGGTGCTCCACCGGGCCCCCACGGAGCCAAGGTAGTCATTCTGGTGTGAGCACTGAGCGGAGTTTCCGGCATCACCCATCCATCTGCTTCAATGTCCGTCTTTCCCTGCCCGTCACTTCGCGCGATGCCTTGTGTTCGTCGTCGTCACATGAGATGCCTCACAAGGCGATTCTATATCCAGGTACCTACGACACCGGTGACTCTTTCGCCTGCTCACCTGCAGTGTCGATCATGGTCGGGGGAATAACCGCCGGTGTCTTACCAATGACGGGACCAACGGCGATGAGCGGACCGTCCGTTCTCCACCGACCATAGGACTCGAACACCGAGCAGCTCCGGAGCTTTGTAATGGCTACGCCTATCCAACGTCGAGACGTACGGGCAACGCCGGAGGCACTCGTAGCCTTCACTGCAATCAACGAATCAAGATTGCACGGGTGACCGTCAAGCTGGCTGAGGCGGTTAGATCATTCCCCTGTCGTATCGGTCAGTTGCTCAATTGAGATGCGCTGGTTGTCCTTATCTCAGCCTCCATCCCTCCAATCGACCCTACACCGTCCCCCACCTTGGAGCGTCTTCAGTCTTCATTGCTCAGAGGTGTTTGAGCAGAAGAACATCTGCACAGCCTCGAAGATGCTGACAGAGACATGCCCTGTGGCTGCTACGCGATCTCAACCGGGCCGACCTGAGACGTCTCTCTAGGCAGGCTAGGCTGGTGCTTACTTTTCCTCTGCACAGGTGGTCTCCTTAGACTACTCAGCCCTACACGTCCGACCTCTTCCCTGTCGGCGGCTCTCCCATTCGTCAAACAACACTTGCTCACAATCTTTTCCTGTCTCTTTTAGCGCATCGACTAATGATGATGCACCAGTCCGTGTAACCAAACCCGTCGCCTTGGATTCTGTCCCTGTCCCCCTTGTTTCCAAAAGTTCGGAGGACGAGCCACACCCTTGGCCCTCTGACGACCAGAAACGGAAATGAGCCATTGATATGACAGCCTATTGCGGAGCTGCTGGGTTTCTTACAGGGGACTGACTTGGGAGCCACATCTGCCCAGATCACCACAATCCAGGCCTGCGGCACCCCGGCGCATGGCATCTCCCCTCGCCTCGCACATTGCATCTCACATCATGACGAGGAACCTTGCGAAGCCCACCATCACGTCGCCCGGGTTTCTGGTCTGCTATGCCGAGTGGTCTGCAGACCGATGACAGTGACACACACACAGACACCACACGCATACCACATGCGCGCGCGCGGCGGGCAGTGATGGATGTCGACTTTACTTCGTTTACGTTACCCAGGGAATAAGGAAAGGTGTTACGATACGTCCTCGTAGTACTCCGTGGAAAGAAGGCTAAAGCTTGTCCTTCATGGGTCCCTTTTTCTTTTCTATTAACCGCCCCCGGTCGTATTTCTTTGGTTGCCTTGGGTACATGTCATCGCCCTCCACATATCCCAAATTTGGAAAGCAAAAGGGCTGCCTAGAGACAGCGAGACAGAGAAGCCGTGGGGGCCGTGCCGAAACTAGAATCGCAGGTATCTCAATCTCCCACACAAGCCCAACGCCCCAAAACCCCAAGCCGTTGCGATACCCGTTTACCGGGCGTCCGCGCCCCCTCGCACGGAGGCTGAGATGCCAAGTCGAGGTACCAATGGCTGGGGTTTCTTTTCTTTCTGGCCCCCCTTTGACCTGAGGTAAATCGTAAAGGTAGGTAGGGCTGGGATCTCACTCCGTACCTGTCTACCTCACCCCTACACGATGAGCCTCATCAACACCCACCCCCAGCCAGTCCCTCGATATGAGAGAGAATATGGATGCCTTGAGGCCTATATAAACTACTTGATATATCCCCATTTGAGGCAGGAATATAATCCATCATCACACTCACAATCCAGACTCACAAGCTTAAACACAGCTCTCATACACACAATCTCAAAGTCGCTTCACTCATATACACAAATCACTTACACCATCAACAACCTCATCTACCTAACACCAAACCCAATCTACTCCAACACACACAAATCATCTCAAACCTCCACAACTCATTTCATCACAATGGCCGCCTTCACTCTTCTGTTCACTCCCACCACCGCCGTCTACGGACGCTCAGGCTACAACAAGGACGGCGACGACGAGGAGAAGAACGACCGCGGCCGCTCCGGATACAACAAGGACGGCGATGACGACGACGAGGGCCAGAACAAGGGCCGCTCCGGCTACAACAAGGATGGCGACGACGAGGAGGACAAATAGGCGTCTCACCCCCTTCTTCGCGCCAACCTTTCTTCGGGGTTCATTGATCCCACGAGGACTTTGGTTACCTGGCCTCGCATCCTTCAATCTTCCCTGCCGCGGCTTTGCCTTTTCAAGCCTCAACGCCTTGAATGACACGACGAGACCGCCGCATCAGACATGCGAGCTCAACATTTTCTATTCTATCAGCATTAGACCGGCGTTTTATCACTTGCATCCGTCCGTTCACTGCGCCCTTCACTTCCCTGCGCGAGCATGGAAGGTCGGGCTTTAAAACGGTGCTGGCGGCGGCGTTTCTTCTTCTTCTTTTTCTTATCTCATGCATTGGGTCGGAGTTTGGGGTTAGACGGTAGCATCGCGACGGATTACACTCCTTCTTTTTTTTCTCTTCTTCTTTGGCTGGGATTAGGGACTGCATAGCAAGCATAGCAAGCTTCTCTTGGAGGAGGATTGTTTTCTTTTGTTGCATTGGGCCGGCGTTGATGGATTTGATTCGCATCTCTGCTTCTTCTTATTCTTCCCTCTTTCTCTCCTCTATCTCTCTCCTATGTTTTTGACAGATTAGAATTAGATATAGGAGGACTTCACCGTCCGGGATTCGATAGTAGTCTAATCACTATTTTCCTACACAAAACCTGAAGAAAGCCAAAACGTGTCAATGAACTTTACAACAACAAATGAGAGATAAAAGATACTTGGTACTCACTTTTCAAAAATCACCCCAAGAACCTCTTCCACATCCCCCGCCTCAACTCGCCCCGTAATCTTGGCAAGACTGTCTGCCGCGTATCGCAGATGCTCCGCCGCCAGGACAATATCAGGCTCCTCGCCGTCTCCCCCTTCTTCAGGGTGCGCGACGGCCGTGAAGTCATCCAGGAACCCGCGGCACTGCTCAAGTAGCTGCGCCTGCCTGGCCGTGACGCCCAACAGGTCTTGCTGGTCCACGGGAAGGGCCGTCATGCCGGCGAACGACTCGACGAGCCGGTCGATGAGCCCGTGGATCGCGCCCGGGTCTTTCTGACTGGCGCTGGCGTTGGCGGGGGAGGAAGGGGACTTGGCTTGCGCTTCGGCTTCGCGGCAGGAGATGGTGATGATCTCCGTTGTGTGTAGGTTTGGTACTTGAGAAGCCGTTTCGTTTCTGAAGCGCTCGAGGAGGCTGGAGAAAGTGGCGGCGTCGACGGCGTCGCGCTTGTTGACTACGATCAAGCAGGCCTGCGCCTCGGATGCCAGTTGTAATGTTTCCGCGTCGTAGTTGATCCGGAAACCGCCGTCAGGACCTGGCTTAGGCTCGACGGCCGCCAAGACGACGATGATGTCGGATTCCGAGGCCTTTTGCTTCGCGCGCCGGATACCCTCCTCTTCTACCAGTCCCAACGCAGGTTCAGAGGGGTCACCACCACCGCCCTCGCCGGCAGCAAGTCTCGTCCTGATGCCAGCCGTATCCGCGAAAGAGCAGAGGTACCCCCGTATATCAAGACTAACCTCGACAACATCCCGCGTCGTACCAGCCTCCATCGAAACAATGGACGCCTCCCTCCCAACGACGAGATTCATCAGCGAGCTCTTGCCGACGTTGGGCGGGCCAAGCAGCGCGATGCGGATACCGTTGCGCAGCAGCTCGCTGCGCTGGCCGCCCTCCTCGTGGACCCGGATCCCGTGCCGCATCTCGGCGACGAGCGCGCTGACGTTGCCCATCAGCTCCGTGGGGGATTCGTCAAAGTGCTGATCCTCAGAAAAGTCAATAAGGGCCTCGATCTCGCCCCTGGCTAGGAGGAGCTGCTCGCGCCACGCCTCGTAGGTCCGGCCTAGACTGCCTGAGCTGCCGCGCACCGCGGCGCGGCGCTGTTGCTCCGTGTCGGCGGAGAGGGTGTCGCCCAGGGACTCTACCTGTGCGAGATCGAGTCTGTCGTTGAGGAAGGCTCGTTTGGTGAATTCGCCTGGTTCGGCGTAGCGGATGACGCTGCTTTCGGAGGCGGAGGCACATCGCGAAATCGCGGCGAGGACTGCCTTGACTGTTGCGGGGCCGCCGTGGACGTGGAGTTCCAGGACGTCTTCTCCGGTTACTGTTTTGGGTCCGGGGAAGTACAGCACCAAGGCGTTTGAATCCAGGATTGGTGCCTCGTCGCCGGCTTGCCCGTCTATGAGGGTTCTGACTGATGCATATCGAGGTTTCGGTAATGCCTTATTCGGACATAGACCTTTGTAGACCTGGGGTTGGTTTTAGTGTCAAAGTCTCATTAGATTTGCTGGAAACGCTCTCACAGCTGTACACCCTGGACCAGACACGCGTATTACGGCGATGCCGGCCCGGCCTTGTGCTGTTGACAAGGCATAGATGGTGTCTTCCTTGAAAATAACCTCTGAAGTCGATGTAATAAATCGTGACTGAGGCCTCGTGCCTTGTAGTGTGTTTCGTTGGTGGAAGGGGCCTAAAGCAGTCGATCCAAACGCCAGGGGCCGAATTCTCAATGAATTGTAACCTCGACCACTAAGACATTTTGGAGTTGTGAAGGGGGGATTTCGGCCGAGGCTCCTCGTTGACCGAACAAGAGCATACATGGACTAATAACACAGCGAAAAGAAAGAAAAACGAATAAATTAAGTGCAGGACGACTAGATCCGCATTGCGATGAAAAATATACGACTGAGGTATTGCATGAGATGAGAGCAACGAAATGCTCACTGAACCATTGCTCGAGCAGGTTGACGGAGCCTGGAGTTCCAATTTGGAAGCTATTGCAATTTGTGACGTTCTATTGGCCGGCCGGGCCGCTTTGCACCCGAGCTTATCGCGATAAGGCACATACCCCTGCAACTTGCCCGTTGGATGGAATTTTTTTTTGTAGCGTGGAGAGCGAGGAAAACCAACCTCGAAGCGCCCCGCCGCCTCGGTTTTCTTCCAGCACTCGACGTACGGCAAGACCTTTTTAACAACTCTCAACCTCGTCCATTTTCGTCCAAAACCGCCAAAATGGCGTCCGACGAGATTATCTGGTGAGTCTAGACCTGACAAGATAATTGCAGACTTCAATTTTAATCCGCCCCGCGCTAGGCAAATCATCAACCAGCAGTTCTGCAGTTTCAAACTCTCCACAGAGAAGAAGCAGACGTTTTGCAGAAACGAGAACAATGTCACAGGTCTCTGCAACCGACAATCATGCCCGCTGGCAAACTCCCGCTATGCCACCGTTCGACGCGCTCCGAACAAGGACACGCTGTACCTTTACATGAAGACGATCGAACGTGCGCACATGCCCTCGAAGCTATGGGAGCGCATCAAACTTCCCAACAACTACGCCAAGGCCCTGGAGATGCTTGATGAGAAGCTCATCTACTGGCCCAAGTTCCTCGTCCACAAGTGCAAACAGCGTCTCACCCGTCTCACACAAGTCAACATTCGCATGCGGAAGATCGCCGCCGAGGAGGAGCGCATGGGCGAGAAGCTGGTACCGAAGATGGCGCCCAAGATCCGGCGCCGCGAGGAGGCCAGAGAGCGCAAGGCAGAGGCCGCCGCGAAGCTGGAGCGTACCATTGAGCGCGAGCTAGTCGAGAGATTACGTTCCGGCGCCTACGGCGACCAGCCCCTCAACGTCAGCGAGTCGATCTGGAGGAGAGTCCTCAACTCCATGGAGAAGGAGGGCGCTGGCAAGCGTGATAAGGACATGGATCCTGGTATGGAGTCGGAGCAAGAGGGTGAAGAAGAGGACGAGTCCGAGGACGACTTGGAGAAGGAGATTGAGTACGTCTCCGACATTGAGGAGAGCGACGAGGAGCTCGAGGACATTGAGGACTGGCTCGAGAGCGACGATGACGCCGAGGATGATGACGAGGAGGAGGAGAAGGACGACGACGACTCTGAGGACAGCGACGAGGAAGCGGCTCGCAAGGCTGGCGACAAGCGGAAGCGCGGCCGGGCGGTCAAGATGAACCAGAAGAGGCTGAAGCAGAAGCAGGAGGAGCGCCCCAAGATTGCGGAGGAATTGACCTGGTAAGAGGCTCGCATGGAATTCCAATGGCGTCTGGCGCGGGTACCTTTACGGCTGATTACGGGACGGAAAATCAAAAACTGGGGGCATTGTGCATACTACTGTGTGTTGTGATATACCTATTATCAGAATGGTTGTTTAATACTGCTGCATTATCGTTCTTTGAGTGCATGGCATATCGTGCTTCTCTCGCAATTGTCCTCTGTTTCACATTTCACTTTTATCTTATTCATATGCTCGGTACTCCTACTTCAGGCATCTCGACCATGGATCGCTTGGAATGTGAGGTCGTTGAAATAGGCGATTGCCTAGTAATGTGCATGCTTGTGCAAATCTCTGGTACGAAATCTTCCATAGCCGGAGAGTCAAGACTTGCATGCAAGGTGATTTGCATGCGGCCTGGAGCGGTGATCCATGCTTCACCGAAACTTACTCGAGCCGGGGGGGGCCTTCGGTGAAGACAAAGCGCCTCACTTAGTGCAAGTTCCTTTAGAACAATGCAGGTAGGTCGTAGGTCCAGGCCCCACCACCCTGCATCATTCCGTCGGGCGACAAGTGTCGGACCCGTCAACCCAGGTCGCTTCCCATTCCCTATCATTCAAGACGGGCTTATTTGAAACGGACCACTTCAAGCAACCCTCCAAAATTAAAACAGCATAACGAAACCACCCGCCGGCCTTTTGAGTCCCAACTTCTCCTTTTATCACTACCCATTTTCGACAGCGAACGAGCGACTTTACCTACGAAACCCGACGAGCAAGCCTTCGTCCCCGGAGCAGAGCTCTTTACCCCAACCCGTCCGAAAACAGTCGAAAACAGCGCCTTTGGCCATTGCCTTTGCCCCGCAGGATCCTCGCGGCAAGGAACAAGGCACGATGTCATCTTGGTACTCGAGGATCCTCACCAACACCACCTCTCAGATCTCGAACCTGCAGAGTCGCTTGTTGCAGAGCGAAAATGACGGCGACACGGAAGACGACACTCATGTATGCAGAGTGCTGAGAGGCTACTACACCGAGAAGGGCCGTCCGTTCCCTGGCTGGTTGCCGCCCGACCCAAAGGCACCGCCCCCAGCAGCACCCGTCTACGCCCAACCAGCTCAACAAGTCGGCTCACGATACGGAGGTCTGCAGCAGCCACAGCAAGCTGGTCCCGCGACGGGCTTGAGCTCTCTGTGGGACAACAACGGCGGCGCGCAACAGAGGCAGGACACGATGAGCCTGCGACAAGGTCGCGGGGCTCCCCCACCGATGCGAGGCGCCGAGCAGCAGCCCGCGCGACTGAGCCCTTTTGCCCGAGCCGGGGACAATGGACGCGAAGAGGTGCAGGCCCGACCCCTGCCCAGTCAGCGAGCGGGCAGCTACCAGCAAAGTGCGGCCTACGGAAGGGACACGACGAGCACACCGCCGGGTAGCTCAGCGGGCGGCTCAGCACAGGATCGGCTTAAGCAGCGACTATGGGGAGGTGCGAGAACAACCAGTCCGGCGTCCGGAGGCCAAGGACCATTCCAACCACCGACGGGCAGAGGTGGAAGCGGTGACTACGAGGACCGATTTGCCCCGGGCGGCATGTACGAGGGCGGAGGCGGCGGTGGTGGTGGCAGTGGTGGGCGAACAGGACTGCCTGCTGGTCCAAGACGTCAAGGTCTCCCAAGTGGTCCTCGTATGAGGTAGAGTGTACGGGGGCAGCGCGCGGAACACGGGCGAGAACATATATCGGGGATGCCAAGGTCTTACTCGGGGATTCTTCATGACGATGCAGGCATTCGCGGTCAAGATGCTTGGCCGGCCGGAGCCAACAGTCGGCTTATTGTGAGGATCTGCGGACCGTACCTATGTAGACGGTGGGCAGACCCTCGGGGCAAGGCGAGAGTGCGGATGTTGCTTGGAGACATGTATCCGGAAAGGTGCGAGAGCAGAGCTGAGGCACATACATACACACAATACAGACACTACTAATCATGAATTTGAACTGAACTCGCTGGCCTTGATGTATTGTACGGCCTGCCAGGCTTCATCGAGAGCTACCGGTATGTCGCATGCTTCCGTCGTAACGGAGTACGCCTCGATGCGCGAAATAGCGAGGGTAAGTGAGTCGCGACTTGTCCTACACCTAGTATCATATAAAAGAACGGCGAGTCCGCGACGAAGCTTCGTCTCTCGCGAGGCCGAATCTGGCGACGATGGAGCGAGTTGCTTGCGCGTGCAATACGCAGCCTCGGAAGGGCCAACCGGAGGCGCGAATGACGACGCATGCATGCTGCAGATGACATGGTTCACCCTGATGCGCGGGTAGCTATACCGTCATTGTACGCTAAAAGGCTGCCTAAACTGCGGTACAGATACAGTGGGAACAACCCCTCCGAGACATGGATGCAAGCTTTCGCAGCGGGGTGATTCAGTGACGGAAGTGGGTGGCCACGCCCCTCAGAGGCCGACGACTGCGCAGCACCTTGGGCTACTCGCCCCCAACGTCCCATATCATTAGCCACAGTTCGCTCACATGCCACTTTTCCCCGGATCATCCTTTTTTGTTCTCGCTCTTGTCACTTTATTTTCTCACCGGAAACTCTAACAGTAGAGCCACTGTCGCAATATTTCAGTTTCCTGAATAGCTTCACCCGAGACAATAGCAGGCGTCCGGAGCCGAAGTCTCCCGCACACCCCCAGCTTACATCGCCCGCGGCGCACTGCACGATGACCTCAGACTCAGATCCCCCGCCGTCCGCCAACGCTCCACCACCGACGCGACCTCGCTCGCCCTCGGGGAGCTTCTACGCCCTCAGCGACGACGAGGAAGGGGATTATAATACAATCACGCACACAGAAACAGGACGGGGCGTCAAGCTTCTTTTCTCTAAGAGCAAGGTATGGTGCAGAAACCACTCTCGCCACCAACACTCCAAAGATCGGAACTAACGGAACGTTGCAACGGCGCAGGTCTATGTTCACCCCACGCCATCAGCGAAAGATAATATCCCAGGCTACATAGCCCTACTCCAGCAAAAAGGAGGCTCGAGCGAACGACCGACCTCCTCCTCATCTCGAGACTCTCGCAACCCACCTCCCTCCAACCTGCTCCTAGCATGGCTCCCCGAAACCTCCCTCGGCGAATCCGAGAGTATTTATGTCAAAGTCGACCTTAGCGAAGGTGAATCGCCGCCTAAGCAATCGTACCTAGTGCCTCCTCCGCCGACAGTCACATCCCACCGAGGTTCTGTAGGCACATATGCTTTCGCTATCCCCGTCAGCGCAATATACTCGCTTCTCGTGAGACCGCCGAGCCTGGGTTGGTGGTTCGGCTCTTTGATCATCAATTCGAGAGCCGGCGACAGTTTCCCCGCGCTGTTTTTTCACGACAGCGAATGTCAAAGCACGATCCTCAAGAGGAAGAGGCGGACGAGGGACAGCTTCGACCCGTTCGGTGACCGAGGTGAGATGTTTTGGGGCGGCGATGAGGTCCTGCGTTGGTTGCGGCGCTACGTTCCTATCGAGAGATCCGGCGCAGAGCCCAACATTTACTTGGTGGAGCCTTCAAAGGAGGACAGCGATGCATTCAGTGGCAAGCTCACTTCCAGTACGGCTCAGGTCGGTCAAAAAGAGGGTACTGGGACTCGAGCCGGCGGCGCTGGCCCCAGTGGCGACGCGCAGATGGATCCCTTTGTGAAGCTCATCAAAGAAACCGGGTGGAACATCATGGAGAAGTTCAGCAAGGTTACCACTTTCACCAGGAGGGCTGCTCAAGATGTCATCCAGAATCCCAACGTTCCCCCGCAAGTCAAGAGACTTCTTCGGAATCCAGAGGTACAGACTCTCCAAGACGAGTTTGACAGCGCAAGGATTTACTTGGCGCGCTGGGCTATGGGAATTGCCGAACAAAGCGAGCGAGATCGGAGTCAGAGGATATGGACTGCTAAGGAGGTCTTGGAGCTCGAAGACACCGATGTCGGGGAATTTGAGCTCCTTGACGGCAGTAGCACCATGTCATTGGAGGACAGAAGAAAAACGGTGACGTTGAAGGAATGGAACACGTTCTTCGATCCACGGACTGGGAGGTTATCCGTCACTGTCGACGAAGTCAAAGAGCGGGTGTTTCACGGAGGACTGGACCCCGACGACGGTGTAAGAAAAGAAGCGTGGCTCTTTATCCTCGGGGTTCATGACTGGTATAGTACCGCGGAGGAGCGAAAAGCTCATCTCGCGTCCTTACGAGACGAGTATGTCAAGTTGAAGGGCGCATGGTGGGAGAGACTGGTAGACTTGGGAGGTGAGGGCGAACAGGGCGAGTGGTGGCGTGAGCAGCGTGGGCGAATCGGTAAGTCTCTACAATGATCACTTGCATCTAGCTTCGACTAACACCATGGCAGAAAAGGATGTCCACCGGACAGATCGTAACGTGCCCATCTTCGCTGGAGAAGATATCCAGCACCCCGATCCCGACTCCCCCTTTTCCGAGGTCGGGACCAACGTCCACCTTGAGCAGATGAAGGACATGCTCCTGACGTACAACGAGTACAACAAGGACCTCGGCTACGTGCAGGGCATGTCTGATCTCCTTGCTCCCATCTACGCCGTTATGCAGGACGACGCCATCGCCTTTTGGGGCTTCCAGCACTTCATGGACCGAATGGAGCGCAACTTCCTACGCGATCAGTCGGGTATGCGGTCTCAGCTGCTGACTCTTGACCATCTCGTTCAGTTTATGGACCCCAAGCTTTACGCTCACCTGCAGTCTGCTGATAGCACCAACTTTTTCTTCTTCTTCCGCATGTTGCTCGTCTGGTATAAACGGGAGTTCGAGTGGATGGACGTACTGCGTCTTTGGGAGACTCTGTGGACGGACTATTTGAGCAGCAGCTTCCACCTCTTTGTGGCCTTGGCCATTTTGGAGAAGCACCGAGACGTCATCATGACCCACCTGCAACATTTCGACGAGGTGCTCAAATACGGTACGTGATACCTTTGACACACTATTCAACCTAGACTTGCTAATATTGTACAGTCAACGAGCTTTCCAATACCATGGATCTTGACTCAACTCTCATTCGTGCGGAAGCGCTGTTCCGCCGCTTCCACCGCCTGGTTGAGGCCGTCGATAAGAAGGGCAATTTCCCAGGACCGAGGATTAAAGATCCGGGCTCTCCTTCCAAGTCGGCATCCGCCGGCAAAACTCCGCAGGAGAGCCAAAGTAGCGCAGGCCCAGCATCGCCGCGCAAGGACAAGAACAAGGCAACCGAAGAGCCCGATGTCAAAAAGGTCATCACTCCGGAGTTGAGAGAGCTGCTCAGTCGGAAGGTCGTGATCTTGCCGCGGAAAGAAGTAGCCAAGAAGGGCGACGGGCCCGGAAGGTCATGAAGAACATAAGTTACACGAGGACATGACGGAAAGAAAGCATGGGTTGGAAATGGGTGGTAAATGGCATTTTGGGCGTCTGGGCGTTGTGTCTGGACTAAATAGCGATCGGAGGGTGAGAACACTTACGCTGCAACATGTACGATACGTCCTTCCGCCCCCTAATACACAATTTTGTTGGCGGCACCTATGAGAACAAGATGACGGTGACTTTTGCCCCGTTCTAGATTTGCCCGAAAAAATAAGTGTGGTTAAGGCCCCACGTGTGACGCCGATGAGGGTCCCGGAAGCCCGGCCTCAACCATAGTGAAGGATGCCTTTCTCAAGGTTCTCCGGCTCAGCCGCCTCCGAAGGGGTTCAGGGGCAGCACAGCCGCAGCGTCGCCTTCCCCGGGGCAAGTATCCGCCATCGTTTTAGGCAGACAAAAAGGCAGACAGAAAAAAGAAGCGAGACCAAAAAAAAGGTTGTGCCATTGTTGGGTTGGGCTCTGCCACGTTCCCACAGTCTGATCTAAGTGCACTTAGACCGTGTTGGGTGCATCGTTAGCCTCAATCCCGCAAGAGACGCGGGTCAGCTTTTGGTGTTTTGGTTTTGGAGCTAGCATCGTTGTCCCCTTCCCCCTTCCACACCTTTCCTTCAATCCATTTTACTCCCCTCTTCCTCCCCCCATCCATGCTTTGTCGAAGGTCTCCCGAAACTGTGACCTCACCAGCTCCGTCTTGGCCTTCACGTCATGCGTTGGGCGAGGGTGAGTCCCGCTAGTTGAGGTCACCCGGGCAGGGAGACGGGCCAGGTAAGCTATTGGAGGGAGACGAGGCAGCAACAGAGTTAAACGGTACTGCCTCAGTCTAATGCGTGTTCAAGGAGAAGGATGGTTCTGGAATCGCTTGGAAAAGGGGGGAACGTGAGTATTGTAGTCGTTGGAGACCTCCCTGTCCATTGCCTTTTGGTGTGTGTATCTTGGGCTGAGTTGCCTTGCATTCTTGGGCAGTATAGAAGTCCCAGGCTGCCACCCCCTTTTTTATGCTTTGTTTTCGAGACATCACGAGGACAACTCACTCAACATATCAGCACTTGTTTTGTTGGCGGCGTCACGTTCGGAACTCAGCCGTCGGCATTCAGCTCCCTCGGACTTGCAGCCCGTCAGCCCACGACTACAACTACACCTTCTCACACCCCCCTCCGCACGATATTCCCTTGACAAAGTTCCCAAAACGACACAAAAACAACTATAAACAAGAATAAAACAAACCCTACAACAAACACCTATACACCAAAGAAGGGAAAGGAGACTCGAGAGAGACAGACGAAAAGGCGCAACTTCTCCCCCCTTCCGCAACCATGCCCTCGCACCACGGCGATCACGGTGGTGAAGGTCACGGCGGCGGCGGCGGCGTCGCTGAGGTAGTCAAGGACCGCGCCTCCGTCGTCGTCAACGAGATCTCCCGCGGGCCCGTCAACAACGAGATCATCCTCGCGAACCGGGAACGAGATATCGCCGTCGTGCCGCCGGGCGCGCAGGTCATCAACGAGGTCACCACCACCGAGGTCTTCCCTGGCCGTCCGGGGTACGGGTACGGATATGGGCCTGGGCCGGCGGGCTACCAGCTCTGTTCGCAGTGTCGGCGTTGTAAGTACCACTCTCCTGTTGTTGCGTTACTGTCATCCCCGTCTCCGACGATCATTGTCGTCGTCATCGTTTCTCGCCCCTGAAATCCGATGGAACGAGGACATCTCCCTTGTTCTGATTAAACCCCTATATCATGACCACGGAAACTGACATCATACCTCCAACCTCAATAGACTGGCACAACTCCTTCTCCGAGACCGTCTGCTACCGCTGCCGCTCGTCCTACGGCTACCGAGACCGCTTCGACGACCGGTACAGCTACCGATCGGGGTACTGCTCGAGCTACGGCTACGGGTCGGAGCGGTGTTCTTACTGCGAGCGGCTGCGGTTCGAGGGGCCCGGGTACTACGGCGGCGTGGGCATTTGCAGGGATCGTTATGGTCGGCCTGCGTTGTGCAGGCCGAGAAGGGTTTTGGTTGAGAAGAAGACTGTGAAGAAGTATTACTACTAAGGATATGTGGTCTTTCCCCGTGATGGAAGGTTGCGTTGCTGAAACTTTGGGTTCTGATTGGCTTCTTTCATCCTTTCTCTTCTCATCAATCCCGTTGTATTCTGGTTTGTGGTTAGGGGGAGGAAATCACGGCTACGTTGATAGCTGCAGTCTCGGGCTTTCCTTGCGCAGCATTCCGTTTTTCTTGTCTCATTTCTTTCTTGCATGTACGTTTTCTCACTATGATTTCCGTATTAAGTAGCCAATTTTTTTAAGGGACCTTTTTTTCTTTTTTCTCTCGATATCTTGCTTATTGTTTCACGAGTAACGTCACCCCGAGTGGGCGTGACGGTCGGATAGACCTCTTCATTTTATTTCTAACGCAAGTTTGTCTTTCTGCGTCATGTAAGGGTAGCCAGCTTTGTCATAATAGCTTAATGTATGCAAATGACTGCACCTGTTCGGTCCTCGTGTGTTGCGCGCGTTGGCATAGGAAAGGAGAGCCTTGCATTCGTATTCGACCTCTGCCTCCTTCTAGCTGCTCGGCATGTTGATCAATTAGGCTATATCACAACGTCTTGTTTAGGAAGACTCGACGGTCCAATCCTCTTGCCAAGGAAAGAGAAGAAGCTGACTAGACTTCACCTGAAAAGGGCACACCTCACGAACTTTCTCTTGCTGCCTACCTTCACCCTTCCTCTCCGTCCCGTCTGCCTGCCTCAAGGGTACGAAGTCGTGGGAAGGCTTCGGACCTTGTTGTGAATATTCGACAGACTCTGATTAAGCCAGAAATCCCCTCCATACCTATCCGAGAGTGATCTCCTTCCACGTTTTGCCAGGGTGAAAAGAAGCCACGTCAAACGCCCGCTGATACACCTTCGCCAACCCAGCCCTCTCAGCGACACGGCGCTCCTTGTTCCAGGTGATGGCGAACGCGTAGTACAGATGCCACTCGGACACCTCGCGGTCCTCGGGCACATAATAATTCCAGGAATCCAGCTCCTCCTCCATCGAGAAGTCGCGCGCATCCGAGATGGCCACGAGCTCAACGACATCGCCGCCCACGCGGGCGAACCACGTGTCTTTGAGGGATCACGGTGCCGCACCAGTCGCTATGGGCATCGAGGAGTCCGAAGCGGTGGAGGCCTGGTTCAAGCCTCGAGGCAAAGGACGGGCTGCTTCGACTTGTTCTGGAGAGCTGGGAGAATGCAGTGTATGTCCAGAAGTAGAGGTAATCTTCTCGCCGAATGGTCATGGTGGGCATGGTTGGTTTGGGCTCGTGTACGATCACTTCTGCCTGCTCTTCATCGCTCTGGCTAATCTGACGACCGAAGGGATTGTCTTCTGCAGAGGCTCTGGCGTATCCGTGCCATCGAGTTGAATTGTGGTGGACTTCACTCGTCGACCACACTACTTTGAAAATTGGCTTATTGTTGGCCTCGCCGGTTACCAGTGGATAATTACCCGTGGGGTCATCTCGTGCCGTTTTGTACCACACAACCCAAGTATGCGACTTCAACCACTCGTGTGAAGATTCAACAGAATACCAGAGACCATGGACAGCCGCCACGTCGACGCACCATGCCAGCCGCTCCACGCCCAGCTGGGATACCGTGATCGACCACCCAAGTCCTCAAGTCCGAGGCCAGAAATCTTCTGATGCAAGATGCGTTGGACGTTGTACCTGACTCTATCTTGTTGCTGATGTATACAGCCACCGAGATCTATCGCAGGCTTCATGCATCTCTATTTTCCGCAAGGACAACTATGGGTGCTCATAGCTAAACTCACAATCCCCACACATTCCCAACTAATGAGCCCATTACCTCGCCCTAGCTCTGACGCAGGTTTTAAGTCGGAATCGTAACTGTCAGCTTCCCATCATTCCCTTGTCTTACGTTTGCCGTTGCACCCGCTCCGCCCGCGCCAAGACTGAAATCGACATGTGGGCCTCCGAGTCCTTGCACCTTGACGTTGAAGTGAACTGGAAGATATGTCAGGTAATCAATCCAACACAGCTATAGTTGTGTATTTTGAGCTTACCCTGGGTATCAGCAATTTGAATAACTTCCTTTTCCGTATCGCCGTTGTCGACTGCAAGAGTCCTGGTTGTCATGGTATCTCCGACTAGAAAGCTTATATCATATTCATGAACAGATCCAGACGAATTGATGATAAAAATGGTATATGTGTTTGCCATTATGGTAAGGTATGTATTGCTGTAGCTTCAGGGTAGGTGCTGGAAGACTGCGAAGTGTGATCTGAAAGTCTCGAGGAATCTGGAAAGCAATATTGCAATGCAAAGAGCCTCGCGGGTTTCTCTATGCATCGTAAGATGAAATGGCATTGTAGAGTGTGGTCTCCAGAGCCCCCGAGCCCTAGTACTGTGTGGAAATATTGTCAATCGAGCCTAAGACCAATATCTTGAGCTCATACGCCAGTCTGCAGGTGAAAAGAGATGATGCGTCCGGTCCCCGTTCTCGGGAAAGTCCATGCTAGCCAGCCAGCCACTATTCTCAGCTCCTACATCAAATCTTTTACATCAAATGTGGCACAATTTTGATCGGCTTCTTATTCTGGCTGTCACGCCATCGCATCGTTGTCATTCAGGGTACTTTCATCATTGACGAGTGATGAACGGCAACTGGAACACGGCCGCACTCGTTCAGACATTGGCATCAAGTTGCCGGATGAATCCCGCCAGGGACGCGAAGCCACCTGGGCCGTTGTATACGATGATGATTGGGCAAATTGCGATGATCTAGAAATCGATCAGGCCTGATTACCAGAGAGATCAGTGCGACACAACAAGTACTTCGGCACGGCTCGCAGTGCGGGGAATTGAGAGACAGGCACACACACACACACACCATAGCTGCCGAACCGCCAGCCCCAGATTCTTAGTGATTGTTACTGTGTTTGGAAAGAGTATCTTGGTTACTTTTGAAGGCCCCAAACCGTCTTGGACGAGACGACATTGGGTCATTGATATATCCAGGAGAAGACCGCTGGATATCCGAATCTCTCGTTGAATATGGTGACCAGTGCCATTAGGGAGGCAACAACCAGGCTGAAGCTTGCAGCTTGATGCACAATATCTCGATAACACTGGCAATTGGTGATGATAGAAATGTAGGCTCATTCGGTAATCGAGATGTGTCAAAAAGAGAGACGCGTCCGGAGTCCGAAGTCTGGCTGGCTGAAAATGCTCGGATGCTTGGCGCATCCTGGTAGTCCGGGTTCGTCTAAGAAGAAACCCCAACACGTTGTGGGTTTATCCTTATATCATCTTCAAGCATACGGTAGTGACTGGGATAGAAACGCTTTTGTAGGTCTGGCACCTGCAGGCTGCAAGCTATGCTCCGAAATTCAAGTATCTGTTCTTTTCGAAAATACTCGTTAGACATGCTGCAATGGCCCATGTGGAAAACCACAATTTGTATGCCATGCCGATTGGTCTTGCTTTTCGCTGTTGTCAGGCAGTCTAGCCCGCTTCCATTCACCGGCTGACCTTACACTTGATACTCAAGGTTTGCCTGACTAGAGGTTCCAGCCTCTTTATGACCAGCTGAGAGCGTGGCTATACGCACCCACAACTTTCCCTTGTCTCACTACGAAACCAGATTATTGGGTATGTCTAGGCGTCGTGCCAAAGGCTGAGATCGCTTGACTACACAAGTTGTAGGGATGAACTAGACCAGTCTGGGACGCATACAGTCTAATTGTTTGTTAGATGATCAGGGCTGATAATCAAAACTTTGTACCCGGACAAGATCTATACTCTCTACTTGTAAGCACACAAACTGCACTCCACTAGAAGAGATACTTAAAGGCTCTTAAGACCTCGTTCGGTTTCCTACTTGCACGCACCATCTTCCACCAGGTTCGCCTCCTGGGGTTTCGATTAATCTTCTCTTATCAACGCCCTACACTTTCAGCCCAGTTTCATCATGGCCAACGTCAAGATCATCGTGAAGAACGAGAGCGACAGGGCCCAACAGTTTCTCATCTTCAACGAGAAGCCAACATACTCTGAGTCAGTCGGCAGGGCCTGGACCACCGTCTGGGGCCGCTCGCCAGGAACGGCAGGAAGACATGGCACTACTCGCTTCTCCATTGAGGAGCACTACTATGCTGTGTGCGGCATGACCCAGAAGGCTTTGCAAACCGATCTGATTGTAAGCACATCGGACTGCGACAAGGTGAGGCTGGGAACCAGGCAAGAAAAGGGCAGCCTCGAGGCGCTGGAAATCCAAGAGGGGGGTATCGTCTTCGACAAGGGGAAAAGGGGAGACCTTGATAAGGATGGTGCGTTCGGAATCGACACTGCCGCGTACGGTTTCACAGAGTATCGTAAGTTCCTCTCTCTCTCTCTCTCTTTCTTTCCTCCTCTTGCTCTCCTTCTCTCTCGCTCTCTCGGGCCACCCCTGACCTATAGTGGACTCACAATCACATCGTGTGCATTGTACTAACTGCAAGCTAAGAGAACGTCTTCTGTGGCCTCGGTATGAAAAGCCCAACTCCGGGCCAGGAAGAGGAAGTCATGCCAGTTTCCGTATGGCGACCCGATTCCAACCAAAGGTATAAAATTACTCCCAAGAGGATCTATTATGTCTCGGCCGGGAAATTCATTCCGGGAAGGGTTGTCGACTTTGCCCAGCTAGGAAGCGTCGTCACTATTGACTTTACGGGGAGGAAGGAAACTGTCGCTATGGTGACTTTTGATAGCGGACTCGAATTCCTTCCTGTAAGGTACAGCTTTGACAACTAAGGTCATGATGGGACGGAGTTGAAGTTCTTGAAGAGAGGGGCCTTGCCAAATCTTGCCAAATCTATCAAGCAGAGTTATAACTGGCCCTGGGTCGACCGTTGCGTTGTGAGTTGCAAAAGGAATCACAATGAGGTTGACTAGGGTTACCTCGGGATAGCTGAAGTGAGATACAGACGTAGCTCTTATTTCAGTTCAACGTTCTCGGATGTTTACCCAGCCTAGGGGTGTATCTGCGTCAAAGCGTTCATCTATTTCAAAGGTCCTTGGACCCCTGTTGGAATATTGGGCAATAGGCTGAAAAGAGGATTTGGCATGTAAACGGCCCTTCTAATACCTACTTACACCTATGAGAGACACCGTGACCTACTCCTACTTCCACCTTCTTCCGTGTCCCGATTTATATAGTTCAGTACACCATTACTGAGCTTCGTGCCAGCCTAAAGGATATGCCACGCTGACATGTATACCAACAACTCCTGTTGCGAAACTTGTGAGGCGGTTACATTGAGGAGAAATGCAATGATTCGCAAGACCACCAAAGTACGTGTGCTATCAGACATGCTTTGGTATAGCTAACTAGGTATTCTTTGAATTCAACGACGACACATGCGAGATTTGCACTAGTAAAGTCACTACCCCGGGCTCATACGCGGCCGACCAATACGTATAGGTCTGAACTTGTGGATAGAATATCATCTTCCTGGGAGTTTGGATCTGGAACCTTAGCTGGCGAGACTTTTCGTAAGCCATTCTTGATCGCGACGGGAGTAGACAGATTCGACTACTACCGGGGCATGTGTATGGCGTCTGACGAGATGAAATGGGATGGGAGGTTATAGAACGAGCCGAGGTATTTTTTGATAGCGTGAGCAATTTCACCCGCAGGTTGGAACCACAGCAATGCAGCAGTGGTATGAGTGGACGAAGAGGAAATGAGGAGGGCCAGCTTAGGTAGTAGAACCGCGGCAAAGGACTGTCTGGTACTGAGTACGCGATAACGAACACTACATGAAATTTTCTTGACATTCTTTGTTAGCCGCTGTGTGCCCCGCTGACGTTGAAGCGTATAAGTCGGCAGACGCTATTTACGGACCGGGGGTGACAGTCATAGTCTGAGATAACGCCAAAACGTTTTGGCCCGTTGTGGTCCCCTATCTGTGGATCTGGGAACGGGTACGATCTGATCCGCAACAAGAGAGATAAGTAAAAAAAAAATGGATGGAGGAGAAGCACGGACGAACGGGGGACCCATCGGAGACTTGAGGAAGCACGATCAAAGGCTAAAAATGGGAGAAGATGATTGGTGTAATATTTCTCCAGAGACTTGGGTCAGAAGGAAACGCGTTAGACGAGAATGAGCAGAGAAAGAGAGAAAAAGAAAAAGAAAAAAAGACTCATTGCCAAAAGTCAAGAGTCGAGACCTCGGCGAGGCTCCGGCCATATGATGGATCGCGGCAATCGGTGAGTGTGACCTGTCTCCAGTCAAGTGGACTCATGGAGGATTGTTGGCTTCTTTTCCGTGTTGTTGTCAGCTTGAGACTCTCAAGTGCTCTCGTGAGAATTGAGCATCCCACGCCGGCGATGCAGAGAATGCCGAATGGGGCAATCAAGCGAGAGCAAAGGTGGTCCGCTCAGAGTGAGAGAGATATGCCCCTGCTAAACACTTGTTGCCGTTCACTCTGTAAAATCATGTTCAATCTGCCACGCCTCATCACTTGAACATATGATGTCCACTTTGTGATTGATGATCCAACGTCTTCCCGAAAAGATGTGCGATGCTGTCATCGGTGTGCGCGGTGACGATGACCGGCGTGTGTACCTGCCAATACCTCCCATCTGCATGTAAGCCGCGACCGAGTATTCGGGGCGCCAGGCTGGGCCGATCTAGACGCATCGCTAGCAGGGCGAGGATGTGTCACAAGTCAACCGTCGTCGGGAGTCGTCGTCGCGACGTCGCCAACCCATGCTTCTTTGGCGAGTCAGGTTTCCAACCTCCCAGTTTGGTCTGGATGCAGCGGCCGGGTTGCGGGGGGAGAATAGGAAGAGTGGGATGGGGGGTAAAGGGTGGAATTGCTGGCCGAGAGCGGGGTTCTTCTCCTTGCGCCGTCACAAGTTGACCGAGAGTTGCGCCGTCTAATTGGAGCCGTGGGCGCTCGCCGGCAGGTTGTATTCTTCCCAAGGACCATTTCATCCCAAACACCTGTCTTCCTCTCTGATCCGGCTTGTCGATAATGGGAAACCCGGACGTCGTAGCTGCCACGGCATCTTGCAGTAGCAGAAAGCAGCTTGTAGTTTAGCAAGGGGGGGCGACGCAGTACCTACAGGTATTGGACCAGGTAGTACACAGTAGTGAAATCCCACTGGAGGGAACCCATGTTCTTTGTTTAAACCCGATGACTTATGCATGGAGCGCCGATTTCGAAGCAAATCAGAGAGGCCAATTGAGCCAGTTGCACGACCAGAAGGGAAGGGGTTCGGACAAGGTTCAGGAACCGTTGCGATCGGCGGGGGTCTGGTCCTTGTTGGACCCGGGGGAGAAATGGAACGAAGAATTGCTTTTTCCTCTCGCGGGCCGCCACAGGCACGCATCATGGGCTGAATGTCTGGTCTAACGCAATGGCGTTGGGGATGAGGTGGGGTGATGAAGCTGAGATTTGCTATTGTGAAGCTGAAAGAGCGTCGGTATTTGCACGAATAGGTAGGCACAAGGTACGAATGAACATACGTGTTGGAACAGCAAAGGCTGATAAGGAGTAATAGGCAGGTACCATGGGCTGGCTGGCACCTGCCCTGGGCGAAGTGGGACAACTGGCTTAGTCATCACGGCCGGATAAAGGTGGGGCAACCACCCAGGCCGTCACTACCTACTTCGACCGACTCCTGCCTACAATGTAAGATAGAAGAACAACAAGAAGAACAAGCAATAGGATCACCAACAGACGAGTGATAATTGCTACCACTATTTGTCGTATACGACCCCGTGGAACCAACAATACGTAACTGCCGTGGGTGCCGGTGTTTGCAGACGTGTCATCGTCAAAGGCCATCATCAAGAACCTGTTCCGTGACCTTGTGTGTATTCCCGATTGAGCATACGGATACTCGAAAGCGCGGTTGTCGTGGAACCCCCGCGGGGGTTAACAATCGTGACGGCCCTTCTTTTCGTGTCTCTGAATCAGCAAGTCGATGCGCATGCCGAGGCCAGCCGCTGTTATGCTGGACCAGACAATTGGGCACTCGTGTGCGTGTGTTGGTACAGTATCCGTGGGAGAGACGCCCGTCAGCGTTGCTTCCCGTGTGTTGGTGAGAGTTGATATGTGAGAGGTGACGGGCGAGGTAGCAGCAGACCCAAGTTGAGGTAAGGTGAGGCCTGTGAGTTGAGGTAAAAAAAAAAAAAAAAAAAGCACGGAGAAGTGGCCGATGCATCCATCCCCTTTGCCTGGCAACCTGGAAGACAAGGCATGGAAGACGAGGCACGTCGTCGTCTTACATCATTGACATCATGGCTCGTTTTGGGGGGAAAAAGGAGGCACAGAGGGTGGTGAGAGCCAAAACGGGAAATGGGAAACAAACGTGACTGCCTCACGAGTTACACGAGATGTAAGCGACTTCCCCAGTCGTTCCCCAAAGGATCGCAATTCCCGTCACGCCCGCATCCAATCATGGCCTAATGCAGGGTTTTCCGTGCCTTGTTTCTCCCATCCTGTCCGTAGACTTGGAGGCTAGCAATGGCGTGTTCACATACATAGCATGGATACGGATACTCCTGGTCTTCATCCAAGGCCAAGGGGAGAGTCTCCGGGGTTCTGTAGCCGCTGGGAGCTGAAGCAATAAGAAAGCAGGCATCTCGGCTACTACTTCGTACACGAACTACCATTGACCAAGTAACTTCGTACCGGAGAGCTGCCCAGAGTGTCCAGACCCCCACGCTCCCGATTCAACTAGTCTCATGCAGGTCGCCCGAAACGGCATTCTGAACCTTTTTCTCTGCATTCTTGCTTCCCAGCCCAGCCGGCTCCTCTTCATGTACTGCATTGCTGTCGTTCGTCCTTTGGGGCCTTGGGCAGCCTTCGCAACAAGATGGTAGGTAGCCAATAGCCAAAATACCTAAGTAAAAGTGAGGGAAAAAAACAAACAGGCCCACTAGTCGTCGTCTTAGCCGCTCGTTTGCCCGTCTGCCCCATGCCAACCCTGAACGACTCACGACATGGACATGGAGCTCACGGTCCAGGTGTCGCGATGGATGGCGAGATGCAAAGCCAGCATGGCGCGGCAAAGCACGGTTGACACAATTTTACACTTTGGTTGGGGACTATTTCAGTGCCGACCAAGGCGCAATATCTCGTTTGGATGTCAAAACTAAAGTTTAACAAGAGGAAGACAAAAAAAAAAAAAAAAAACCCCCCGGGAACGCGAGGGTTAGGTTTCTGATAGTGGAGAGAAGATTGGCAGCGGCTCAACTAACGACTTACATGGGGACTCCCATGTTTAGAATGGAGAAAGGGTTCCCCCCCCTTCCCGTGTCCCGTCAGTGGTCTTTTCGGTCTACCTGACTCGAGAGCGCCCGTCTTCACTTCCTCACGACCGAGGTTGGAAATCGCGAGAAAGCGCCGGCGATGGAAAGGCATCCCGCTTCAAGGTAGACGCAACACCCGCAATCAGATAAGAAAAAGAAGACAAAGCGAGACGAGATCTGACCAGAACGAGATCCCCGTGAAACCACCAGCTGAAAGGCATAACATCGAAACCCCCCACCCTTTTGATCCTTTTTCTTCTTCGCAAGTTGTAACTTGCTTCACCAGTTTCGGTCCTGTTCGCCGTGGACACCGCGTCGGCGGCGTAGAGGGCGGCGTAGAGAAGCAGCCGTACTTCGTAGACGCCCACTTCCCAAAGATGCAATCATGGGTCCAACACCTTGTACAAGTACTTCCTCTCTAACCCCTGCTCAACCCCGCCATGTCATGCTGCCCATCTCCGCCCACACCCTTTTCCCCTGTGCAGAACCACCAACCGAACAATGGCTCTCCCTCTCCCTCTCTTTCTCTCTCTCTCTCTCATGTACTTATGAGGTCGGCGATGAGTAGCCGCGTGGGTTTTGGGTTCAAGACAATTGCGTGTAAAGTCACCCCGTCCTCGTCATAGTTCGAGACAATGCATTCCAAGACGTGCCATTGTCCGCATATAGCCCGCACGAGCTAAGCTTCTCACGAATTACCCCACGTAGAGCACGTAATGTAGTAAGTACATCGTGGACGATTATTCCTTCACGAATTGCACGGATACAGACAGCCCCCAATTGAAGTCAATGTCGTCAGATCAAGACTCGGCCTTGCCGGTGTATTGACCGAAGCGTGATCCTGAGATACATCGTCAAGTCTGCACCTAGACGAAAACGACCCTTACGTTTGACGGAATTTCCCACTTGACAATCTCCACAGAGGGGTTCATCAATCCCTCGATGCATTCGCGGGAACGCGGTCGATCCCCGGACCCAGACTAAACCGGTGATAGCCAGAACAAGTATCCGTAATGTTTCGTCAAACCAACAAGTGATGAGGAAATTAAATCACGAAATCCCATCGACTCGATCCGCCATCTCGGCGCAAAACCACCGAATCGTCGTCACCCCCTTGCCCACCGGCCGGTACCCCCCCCAAGGCTCAAAAAAGCACAGGCTTTCAACGCTACTGTGACATTATGGACCTCACCTTATCTGCAACCCCCCCCCCCCCCCCCCCCTCCAATGGCCCGGAATATCGCGGCAAAAAAATAAAATTGAACAACAAGGCAAAGCCGCAAAGCCGCAAACCTACGTTTTCCCACGCTCAGTACAGAGTACCTAGCGCCCATCTGGCTCCGTCTCGTCTCGTCTCAGCCCTTCTTCCTACTGCGCAAGGTACCTTTCCCTACTAGTTATCTCACTGTGTAAAATAAGTATCGTATGTACTCATCCTCTCTGGCTGGTCCCCGGCATGTAGACGCACGGATCGTGCTCTAGTGCGCCTCTTGGGACGGCCGCCGCCGCCGCAGAAAGTACCTTACGCCTGCTGCTTCTGCTTCTGCTGCTTCTACTGCTGCTGCACCACGCCGCACTCCTACGTACAACGCCATGTACTTTCTCCTCCTCCTTCTCTTCCATGAACACCCACCCCTCCACCCCTTCCCCTCACCTCATCTGGGCTGCTCTGGCTTGTAAATGTATCATGTATCATGTATCATGTAGCCAGCCTGGAGGTGAGAAATACGCCCAGCTTCTTGCCTTGTCTCAAGGTACCTTACCTTGCCCACCTTAGCTCGTCTTCAGGGTCCTCCCATACGAACCTAATTCCTCTTTTCCCCTTCCAACGCCTTCTTCTCGTGCACTTCTTTTTCACCTTTCCCCATCCCCCTTCCCTTTTTCCTCAATTTTTCCCTTTTGGAGATTCTCTCTCCCTTTGTCCATTTTCCCGGGCTTACATCTTTTCCTCTACCTTGGTAAAGCTTCCCATCCTCTTCCAGTCTTAACCCACCAAGGCATCTACTTCCCCGCAAAAAAAGCATCCGTAAATCAGACGCAAGGGAAAATACAACATCAGACAGCAGCAACGAAAGAGAGATAACAAGAGACGACGACTCCCCTGTCAGCCCACGACTACCGAAAGCTTAAACTTTTTCCAACGACTCTTGGACTTTCAAGAGGGCAAAGGAAAGAAAAAAAAAAGAAAAGAGAAGAATATACATCGGACCCGCCCAGTTGTGACCAAGGACACTTCCAACGACACCCGAACCCCCCGAGCAGCGTGTACTCCGTATGAAAAGATCAAACCGAAGCCGGCTGCAGAAATACCTTTAGTTGCCCCCCCCCCCTGTCCCCCTCCGATATCAACCCCGGTGCGCACGCAAACTTTCAACAAACCATCTGTGCACCGGCGCATCGAGTCTACTTCTTCTTCTTCTTCTTCTTCTTCTTCTTCTCTTTCCCTTCTTCTCTTTTAGAGAACTCCGACGCCGGGAAAGCATTCTTCTGGCTCTTCAACTACCATCAGAAGTTTGCGCGTCACAATGAACGCCCAGGTCTCGTTTCTCGTAAGTTTCTCCAACATCTTGTATCATCCCTCCCCTTCATCTTCCCATGGCGCACACGACACACACGACCGCAACGTGGGAACGATTCTCGATAGAGTCACCAAAATGCGGGGCTTCATTTGCTCGTCCCACTGCAACGCTGTGTGTCCGTCGCCGTCGCCGTCGCCGCCGCCCCGAGTTGCACATTCCACTCGGAGCTAAAAAAAAAAATAAAAAAAAAATGACACACAAATGTCTTGGTCCTTGCAGACCTCTGTCGTGCTCCTCAACTAACACCGCATTTGCGCTCTCCGCAGGATGGCCACTACACCCTCATCCACATCCCCCTCGACCTGTACTCGGTACTCCTGCAGCCCATCCTCCGCGTCCTTCTCCCGCAGACCCAGACCCTCAAGGCGTCAAAAGGCGAACCGGAACATGAGCTAGAAGGACTCAACGCCGAGAGCCAACATGGCTTCCTCAATATTAGCGTCACCCCCATGGAGTGCTCCATCGTCTGCCACAGCTCCTGGGCCAAGAACGTCTTTGAGCCGGCCATCCAGGATCTCCCAAAAGACCTTGCCAAATCCGTCTCCATATCCAAAGACACCTACCTCGTGCTCTCCGTCATCAGCGCCGGCATGGACGCCGCGGGGCGTGTCATGGAACTGACCTCGCCCCTGGCCCTCGCCGGCATCCCCATCTTCTTCATCACCACCTACTACTCCGACTTCATCCTCGTCCCGAGCAAGGACAGGCAAACCGTCGTCAAGGCCCTCCTCGCCCGCGGCTTCGAACTCGCCGACAACGACTCCAACTTTGTCAGCCCCGCCGCCTCGATACACTCCCGCGGACCGAGCCAGAACAACGGCGCCGGCGCGCCCCCGCTGACCCCGCCGCCCTCCACCATCGCCGAGCTGCAGGTCCGCACCTTTGACCTGCTCAAGAAGCGCAGCGTCGCGCCCTACGTCGAGGACAACCTCCTCCTGGTGCAGTGCTCCGGCCGCGAGACCTCGCAGCTCGGCGGCGAGCTCTCCCACACCCAGCGTCCCTCGCTGAGCCGCCAGGTGACGGGCAACAGCCACCGTCAGACCTGGCTGGACAACATTGACGCGAAGCTCTACACCGCCATGATCTCGGCCCTGGCGGCGCGCCCGCGCTTCCTCTCCATCACTTTGGCCCAGGAGGACCCGCCGTCCCTGCTGCTGGATAAGTCGCTGCTCGGCCTCTTTGGCGATTCCCTCGTCGGGGACACCAAGACGAACCTCACCCCGATCTTCTTGGACCTGGAAAGCCTGTCGCTCGAGGCTACCGGTATCGTCTGTGGCGTGGCTGGCACCCTGGTGCAGGATATGCGCACGGGAGACAGCGCGGGGCTCTCGTACCTCTCCACCGCCCGAGCCGGTGCCGTCATTCTCGATTGCGAGCAGTCGATACTCGCGCTCGAGATCCTCAAGCCCAAGCTCTTCAAGGCCTGATCGCATCGACCGTATGTTACAGGAGGAACTGCATTGCTGGGATATCTGTCAGAAATGGAAGTCTGATCGGAAAGGATGGATCAGGAGGAAGGAACATCATGAGTTTCTTTTCCCCACACATTTCGAGTTTTAACGAAGTTGCATGAAGGGACAATTGTACTAGCATGGAACTGGTTCAGGCGGTTGGCAATCTGTCATTTTTTTGAGAAATTTCGCGTCCGGGTTTTTGGCATATTGGCGTTTACGGAGGTTGGCTCTATGTCGTTCGATACCAATTTTGTATGTCTTGCAAGAGAACGGGGGCCAATGTCGGTCCACAACTCACACTCGAAGCGATTTGATCTCCTCTTTAATGCCCCCCCCCCCCCCCCCCCCTCTTCGATGACACTCTTGTCATAGCCCACCCTCCTTGATGCGGCAGATCTCTTGGTAAACTCTCCAGTGATGTCTTTCCAGAATAGGTCTATCAGTAACTGACCTCGTAACCCCCATCTACACCGACGCTGGCTGTGAGCAACCTTGAAACACACTAGATCTGAAAAACCAACCATCCATCGTGAAGGCCTACTACCTCAAAACAGCCGCCCTCACTTCCCATGCCTCTTCCTCTTCCCCGACCCCGCCTCCTCCGCCCACCCAGCCTTGACAAACGCATCCCTCGCCGTGCTATTAATCAGCGCGAACCGCCTCGGCCCCAACTTCTGCCCGCCATACCACCTCGTCACGACAACCATGACGTCCCACAAATCCATGAGCTGCATCAGGTGCAGCAGCCGGCCGCCGGCCGCCGTCTCGCCGTCGTCGTCGCAGTCCTGGAAGCTCGTGCCGTTGGCGCCGCGGATCCGCCACGCCGTCATGTTGTGGCTTGCGCCGCGCACCTTCTTGTCCGTCGCGATAAGGTGCTGGACGTAGGACGCGGCCTGCTCGGGGGAGGTGACGGGTGCGGCGCGCGCGAGGAAGACGGATTTGAGTTCCGTGAAGGGGGAGGAGAGAATCCAAGGGGGCGACTCTAGCATGCGGCAAGGCAGAGAGTCAGCTTCGGCGTCCTGTTGGTTGTGCTCGTGCTCTTCTAGCTGTCGCCGCGAGGAGGATGACGGCGGAGGAGGAGGAGAATGTGAGGTGGTGGTGGGTGGTCCTGACGGCTCAGCTTCTGAAACTTCCTCCAGTCGTCGCGAGAACTCTTCCACGGCGTCAAAGAGACAGACAGCGCCCGGCTGGTAGACGGCGGCGACGGCCTCGCGGAAAAGAGACAAGTCGCGGGCGCCCGCGCCGCGGGGCGCGTTCTCGCCGGCGCTGTGGGTGCCGAGGATCTCTGGCGGTACGTCCGGGTACGAGTCGGCGAAGCGGAGGGTGAGGGAGGAGGCACCCGGGCCGCCGGGAAGCGTGAGAACATAGTTATCTGGTGGTGTATGGCGTAGGGTGTCGTCTCCGTAGATTGAGTTTAGGGCTTCTATTTCGTCTTTGAGATCGTCTGACATTGCTGTTTGGGCTTCTTTTGTGGTATGAGGTGTGGCGTACCTCTTAATGGGTTTTGAGAACGGGTGATGTGAGGTTGCTGGTTGATGAGGAGGTTTGTGAAGTGTGGTCTTCAAGATGATTGTTCCTCTAGTGAAATGAATGCCTTCTTTAGTCCGATCTGGTTATATGGATATAATTCATTTGAAAGGCACTCAGGTATATTAACAAAGTAAATTTATGACCGTCAATATCGTGGTTGAAGATGAAATTGAGAGAAAGTTTACATTGAAGTCGTCCAGTTCCTCCCCCACACCCCCCCCCCCCCCACCTCCAATCATCTCCTGATGTGGGCCATTCAACGTCGATGAGGTGGTCCGAGCTCCACACATACCTACTCCACTCACGTCAACCTCCCGTCGCAACTTGGTGAACCTCACAAAGTAACAGCTGCAGCTGATTGAGGTGTTCTCGTGGCAAGCGCTGACCATCTACATGAGGATAGAGCGGCCGACGCAAGCGAGACTTGATGCCGATCCCAGCCGATCACAAGCAATAATGAATTCAGCTCTGCGAGCTAGCTGTCTACCTACCTTAGGCAAGATGGCGCCTCTTCTTGTATCAACATTGGACTCACAGCTTACACGAGTATGCGACGATTTGAAGAGCTGAACTACAAGATACAGCTTCTCCTACCCTCCTAATGACCGAGCGTAATAGTACAGCTATCTCGTGTACCGGATCAGAATTCGGAGTTGGGTTAAAAGTTGCAGAAGACCATGATATTTGAACGCCCGCAGCCAGCGATATGCCAGCGATATGCCAGCCATATGTGCACCCAAGAGGCACGTAGAATGCCCTCCCCCGGACAAATTAAACCCGACGTACAGCCAACTCAACCTCTCAGCCGAGAAGTTCCTACCTGGCCAGCCCAAGGACGGTTCCCTACCAGGCTTCCTCGCCCATCCAATCGACACCGTCGGACTGCAGCCGCGGGAGCTGGGCTACCTCGACGAGATATACCGGAGAAGAGACGAATGGCCCTTTTGCTGGCTTCTCTTCAACGCAACGGCACTCGGCAAATGAAGACGCAGCGGATCGCTTCGAGTAGAACCGCCCCAACGTGCGCCAGGCTATCGGGTACGATGGCCTCACGAGGGACGGCGGCCGGGTCCGCTGCTCGGGCGAGTGGCAGCTGGACGGCCGTCTCTTGGAGACTCCGGTAGGTAGGGCTGAGGAACAACACACATGCGCCGCCGACTCGCCGCTTAAAAGGTCTTTAGCCCGGACGAAGTCTTCACGGAGGCTTACATCATGCTACTGCCCTCGGAGACCCAAACAATGTGGGGCAAGACCTTCCTGGTCCGGCGAATTTCTCCTCACCTGGCCGACGTGAGCCTTCTACGGCGCTGGCTCGACATCTGTAGGACGCACCACGGCAGCGGCTGCCAGCCCTCGCCCCTGGATGAGGTTTTCTCGCTGCTCGAGAACCTCAAGTTCATCGACTTGGACGAGGAGAAAATCGTCGTCAGCGCCCGTGGTGGCGTTCAGGTTACCGAGTACGCGACTCTGGGGCGGGACCCAACCCCTCATCTTGAAGAAGGAGAATGTGCTCGAGTACTCTAAAAGGGGATCCCTCGGCCCCAACACGCTAGGTCTGCCAAAGACCGTCCGCGATGCCATGATGCTCGTCAAGGCGTTGGGTATCAAGTACATCTGGGTAGACGCTCTGTGCATCCTTCAAGACGACATGGAGGAAAAAGCTCCGCGTGGTGCCAAAGATGGACCGCGTGTATGGACATCATCAGAGTATAGATCGAAGCATGGTCACTATCTCAAGGCAAGACATGCGGCAAGCTATGATTATTCACATTCCGTGGCAATCTCAATTTGGTAACAGTACTGTTCTTTTGCGCTATGCGGTGTTTCTTAGGTCTGTCTAGGTACCCCGCCGTCGAGGATTCCTGCACGAGTGATGCAGTACGGGCAGAGGGCGTGGGACCATTGACTGCGCCCATAAATTTTTATTGTTTTGCCTACGGACGTGCTTGCCTTGTTTTGTGTCGTCTCCTGGCTTCATCAGAGCTGGAGGTGTATGCCATACACGCAGACGGAGTGGGCGTGAGAAGACCTATTCAGCCCCCTCCTTTGGCTTGTCATGACCACCCAACTGACTGAAGTGAGCTCTAACATGACACAAATGGTCAAAGGTTTGGTAACGAGGTCCAATATGTGTCCCTTTTCCTCAGTAACCAACCCAATGGGTACGGCATAAGCCTCATGTCGTATAATATTCTCTTGGCGACGTCGGCCGCGTGCCGAAGTCCAACATATCTATCTTCACGGGCCGCTGAACAGCACACTCCGACGCCGATTGTGGCGCTGACGTGGTACCCAAGGTCTGGGGCCGAAGAAGACACTTCTATGTTGTTCCTCTTTCCCCGTGTGCATACCAAGGTCCTGCCTAGACCCCTTGGTGGATGACGGTACCACATGCGAATGCGCACCGTGTGAGTCCCTCGAGCCTGACCGGCCGCTTTCCGATGGTCTCAATGTGCGTCTCTTGCTCAAGGTGGTTCGCGCCGTGAACTCTACGTCTCTGTGAGAATCGGTCGCGATCAACAACACAGCCAAACCCGGTGCACGGCGGGCCGAATTCCAGATAGAGAAAACGGGCAACATTCTCTTGGTTTCCCATTGACTTATTTCTTGATACCCACAACCACCAAATTCCTCGGGCTCTCTGCATAATCAAACACCGTCTCGACCCAACAGTCCCGGACGAGGTCGTCGTGCTCCTTCAAAAACAGCCAACGGTCCGTGACGATGAGCGACTCGACGACGGTGGCGCTATAGGCCATGAGGCTCCACACGGCCGCGACCTCCTTCTTGCGGGAGGCGTATTCCCTCTCGTACACTTCAATCTCCTCGTCCGTCATGTTGGCCATCTTGTCGCGGATCACGTCGCTGTACTGGCTGTACTCGCGGTTCGTCGTCAGCTTGGCGACGGCGCCGCGGACGTAGTCTTTGAGGGATTTGTAGCATGCTTTTCGGAGGGAGCCGATGATGACGGGGTTCGTGGAGGTGTTGAAGGGGGATTCCCTCTCCTCTTCCGTCTGGGACGGGTCTGATGACTCCTTGCCCTCCGTGCCGGCTTCAGCGGCAGCAGCAGCAGCATCGCGGTGATAGACCTTTGAAATGACGCCGCGGTCGAGGAAAATCTTTTGCAGCACCGCGCGGAACAGGTGCCGCGTGAAAAAGTCGTCGCTCTCAGGCTGCGTCCAGTTCTGCGGCGCCTGGCACGCCATCATCCTCGCCGTGATATTCATCCGCACGCCCTGGCCCTTGTATCCAGACAACGTCTCGCTCAGGGGGAAACCCTCAGGATCCCGCCGCGCCGATTCTCGCACGACGCGGCCGTTGAGCGCCTGCAAACTGGGGCGGGCGTACCCGGCCAGCTTGTACGTCGGCGGGCCGAGCTTTTCGGTCAGCAGGTTGTAGCAGCAGCCGACGATGGCGACCGAGTGAATGGCCGGGTTCATGACGAGGGAGCGGATGCCGTAGTGGGAGAGGTTGCCGCACGAGTGAATTGAGACGGCCATCATTTTGAGGTCCTGGGATGATTCCTCCGGGAGAACTTCCTTTTCGATGCGCCCGATGACTTCGGTTAGGTCGCCGCTCTCGAGCCTGCCGACGACGTACGAGACTGACCCTTTGCCGAGCGCGCGGTTGTACCGCGGTTCGAGCTCCTTGATGGGCCTGAAATCAAAGTCCTCCGCTGCTGCTGCTGCTGCTGCTGCATCAGTTGATGATGCTTTCTCGGGTCCAGACGTCTTCTTCACAACCTCGGTGCCGAGCCTATCAGCCTGCATCTGCAGCCACAGCTTCTTGTTGCGCATGACGACCTCCTTGCTCGCCAGGCCCGAAAGCACGTCGAGCCCCTTTGCGCCATCAATGTTGTGCTCGCGGCCCTCGACGGCGACGACGTGGCGGTTGTAAGGGGGCAGCGCGAGGGTACGGCCGAGGTAGTTTTGCCCGCTGCCAAAGTCTACGAAATGCGTCGTCTCTTTGCCCCAGCGGGAGGAGATGGAACCGGCGAGGGCGTCGACGTAGCGCGCGAAGTGAGCTACCTCGTGGACCTTTTTGGGTTTCATGCCGACGGCGACAGAGCGGGATAGTTTTGGCGGGGGTTTACTTTCAGATGTGGTGGGCGAGAAGGTCCGGCGGAGGGAGAGCTTGCGGATCCTGCGGATGTAGTTCAGGAAACTCTCTGGAGGGGGACCTGGCATGGTGTCCAGCGGCAGGTTGTCGAGGTCGTCTCGCATGAGGAGGTCCAGGAGTGCGTCGGTGCCGTAGGAGAGGAGGAAGGGCTGCCATTCCGCCGGTAGGATTTGGGAGAAGAGGCCCCGCTCGTTTGTGAAGAAGTCGAGGACGTGGACGCCGCCGCAGAGGATCTGAAAGATGTCTGTGGTTGTTGCGAAGTCGAGGAGTTCTTGGACGTAGGCTTCTGGCGAGGGGAACTCGTCTGAGCAGGGGAGGGGCTTTTCTGGTATCATGTTTCCCCCCCTGTGTTTTGGGCGCTTTTGAAAATGTGGTTTCTGTGTGCGCCGGTGACTTTTCCCTCTGTTGGCTGGGTTTACAGGTGTATGATATGACCGTAATCTCAATGAGCGTGAGTAAGATTCAGTGAGTGACTGAGTGAGAGATGGTGAGAGCTCCGTATGAGAGTGAGAGAGTGAGCATGTGGAGTTGCAGATGGTGGTTGTGAAAATCCCACTTACATAAAATTTGGCCGATGGAGGGGGGATTTTCCTCGGTGAATGAGGGGCACACCGAGGGGTCGAGCAAGGGTCCTCGGTGACGTCTGATGTCTCGGTGAAGAATGCTCGAAGGTGCCGAAGAATCTCCGGACGTACCTTACACCTCCCCCCCCGAAGCACCGACCACCAGTGACCTCCAAAAGTGGATACCTATGGAAGACGGGGGCGGGAGGTAGCCGTGTCCGTAAAGGTAGCTCGCACCCACTGGTCCCGACCCGGCCGGCCGCCAGAACGCGCAAACGTCATCCCAGGCCGCGTTTACCTGACAAGGTACTTAGATTGACTACAGATCGCCCAATTCCGCAATCGACAACAGGCAACCTAAACACCAAGCTGCAACCCTTGGCTACAAGCTACCTCCCTCAAAGAAAGAACCCAATCCGCAAGCCAATGCGTCCGCGGATGCGCCTATCCACCTCATCACCAGGATGATGTCCTCCGCCAACGAAGAGGATCCCTTCCTCCAAGTCCAACAGTATGCATTTCGCATCGCCCATCACACACCCCGTCGCATACCCTTCATATCTCCCTCTTCATCTTCTCTCAAACCACAATAACTAACCAAACAACGCACCCAACAGAGACGTCCTCGCCCAACTAGACTCAACCAGACCCCTATTCACATCCTACCTCCGCATCCGCTCCCTCTCCACCTCCCCAACTTCCCCCGAACTCGCCTCCGCCCGCGCCGACCTCGAATCCGCCCTCGCCTCCCTAGCCGAAGACCTCGCCGACCTCGTCGAGTCCGTCAAAGCCGTCGAATCCGATCCCGCCTCCTTCGGCCTCTCCACCCCCGAAATCACGCGGCGCAAGAGGCTAGTCCAAGATGTCGGCGGCGAAGTGGAGGATATGCGCGAGGAGCTCGCCAAAAAGCTAGGCGACGTATCCTCGGGCAAGGGGAAATCGTCAGCAAACGGAGCAACGAATTCAGACCTCCCCGATCCAAGCTCCTTCGCCATAGGCGACGGCGACGCTCGAGACGGCGACTACGCCGCCGAGTTCGAGCAGCAGCAGCAGCTCGAGATGATGCGCGAGCAGGACGGCCACCTGGACGGCGTGTTCCGGACGGTGGGTAACCTGCGGCGGCAGGCGGACGACATGGGCCGCGAGCTCGAGGAGCAGAGGGAGATGCTCGAGGTCGTGGACGGGGTGGCGGATCGTGTCGGGGGGCGGCTGCAGACGGGGGTGGCGAAGCTGCAGTATGTTATGCGGCATAACGAGGATCGGTTGAGTAGTTGCTGTATTGCTGTGCTTATTTTTGTGTTGATCTTGTTGCTTGTTCTGTTGTTGATTTTGTAAGAGAGTACCTGTCGCCCGTTCGCCAGCGATGAGATATGAGCTTCGAGGGTGGGTGAGAACGCATTTGGGACTGACTAGAAGACGAAAAAAGGGAAGAATGATGGCGAGGATTATCAGTATTGTTTGAATGGGTTATGGGAGTTCATGGAGCGGGTTGGAATTTCTATCATTGCTAAACGTTTTTGTTTTACTACTTTGGAAGCCTTCATATGGGGGCCATGATAGATCTCATTCATCCAACTAACGATACGCAATGTCTAGAGTATCTCGTTTTTAGGGGTGAATATCCTCTTTCCCGCCAGGCCTCCTCATCTTGCTCAATGTATGAACTGAACTGAAGCCCCGATATTGTGCCCATCGCAAGCCATTTTGAAATCTTGCCTCTTGGTCGTTTTGGTGTGTATAAGTACCCCCATGCCAGGATGTCCAGAAACGCCAGAGTATGTGTACCTCTTGGAAACCCCCCCCCTGCCCTGAAATCGGCAGCCCATGCCTCTCATGTATGTGTACAAAAGGTATTTCATCTACCTTGGCTTTACCTCCGCTCTCCATCCCAAATCTATGCCACGTCTAACCCAGAGTCTCGTCTCAGAACATCACCCAGGACCTGCAACGCCTGTGCGGCCGTGGCCCCCGGAGGAGCCCTCTTAGGGAACTCCACCAACGCCATCCGGAGGGCCGCGACGGCGGCGTTGCCGTAAAAGTTGATAAAGCGCTGCTCGTGGCCGTCAATCATGGACTTGAGCACGACATACTGCGTGTTGGAGACGAGCTGCGGCGGCGAGTTGACAATCTGTGCCATGGCCTTCCAGTAGTTTGTCGGCGGGTACGGGTTCGTCTTGGACGCCTTGCTGAAATCTCGGAGGGCGATGGCCGCGAAGCCGGCACCGAGGCCCGTCATCCTGTCGTTGTGCGCCTGCTCGGGCACCCAGTTGCCGTTCTCCCTCTTCCAGCCAATGGCCCTGCGGCCGCCCTCCGTCTTGTCGCTGCCTCTAGAGCCGAAGAGGACGGGGCAGGCCACGCGGAACTTGGCAATGAGGATGTCGATCATGGAGCCACCGCGCCAGTGGTAGTCCTTGTTGGAGAAGATTTGCGCCGTCACGATGCCGACCGGCTCGGCCGACTTTGGGTTCGCGCCGCCTTCGTTGGAGAATTGCTGGATAATTGCCTTTGAGAGGATGTTGAGGAGGTATATGAACAGGGCCGGCAGCTGCGGGCCATTGTGTACGGCGCCGTCGGCTGGCTCCCTGTTTTGCTGCACGTATATGCTTGCATCGATTAGAGGTGACTGGACTTGGCCGCCGAGAGATTCGCGTAGTGCAGCATTGATCGTGGCAAGCTGAGACATTGTTAGCATATGCGCTGTGCCGTTAACAAGAGCTGACTTGCAGGTTGCGCGTTTGCTCCCTTCCCAGCAGTCAGTTGCCCAATAGACTTTCTGATTTGTCTCCGCATATCACCCAATTTGCCCTTCAACGGATTCCCAGGTTGTTTCGACAGGGCTTCGACGTCCTTGCGCAGCTTCTTGAGAGCTTGGTGTATCTCGGTGTACCTGTCAACGCGACGTTGAGCTGGTGCCGGCGCAGGCGCGGCTGGCTGAACAACAGGTTTAGGGGCCGCAGGTGCTGCGGGCTTCGCGAGGAACTCATTGGCTTGGGTTGTCGGCGCGGCGCCGACCTGTGCGGGTGCTTGTGAAGGTGCTGCCTTCGCGGCTGGGAGAGCTTGTGCCGGAGCACTTGCTAAGGGAGCTGGCTTTGGTACGGCCGGTGGTGCAGCAGCGGGCTCGGATTTGACTGCCGTTGTGCCATTGACCTGAGGTTCTTGAGACTTCTTCGGCTCCGGCTTGGGCGGTTCAGGCTCGGGTTCGGGAGGGAGTTGGGGAATCTGCTTGGCCTTGAGCTCTCTCAGCCTCTCCTGCTCGGCGCGCACTGCTGCTTCGGCCTTTAGACGATCTTCTTCCTCTTTTTGTAGCTGTGCTATCCTCCGCTGCTCAGCCTCCAGCCTTTGCTTCTCCTCCTGCAATTGGTGGACCTCATAGACCCTCAGAGCAGCGAGGCGAACACGCTCGTGCTCGAGCTGGGCGGCGGCGAGAGCGTCGCGATGGCTCAGCTCCGAGTTTCGATTCTCGGAGAGGAAGTCTGCGGTGTAGCCTCGCTCGGGGCTTGACTTGATGTTGCCATTGTGCTGGCTTCTCCGCGAAGGAGATGAGTGTGCCATGGTTGGTGGCACAATTGGCTGCCAACGGCCTCGATGGTGTGGTCGTAGGTGGGAGTTGAGACCGGGCCCTACGGCATCGGGCGGTGGGGTCAGGCGCGGGATGCAAAATTGCACCGACAACCGAGAGAAACAAAATCAACAAAACTAAGAACCAAACACACCAATAAACGGCTGATCGAAAAGAGTGACGTCCGCGGGTGGGCGGTTGGATGGGGAAGGTAACGCAAGGCTCGGGCGATCTTTGAGAGTCCAGACGAGGCTGTGCTTCTTCACCTCTTCGGGGCCGTTTGGGTCGAGTAGTGTCGTCAAGCGGGCAAGGTATTGGTAGAACGTAGAAACCGTACTGTCGAGTTCAGATTGGGCGCGGCGTTGGTGTGGAGCAACGAAAAATAATACGATGTATCAGGCGCGCTTTGATGTGGGAAAATGCTACCGTTCGCGGTGGGCCTGGGGCTCTTTGTGGTGATGGGGGCCCCCTTGAGGCTTGGGGGGGGGGGGGGGACCTAGGTATTGCTGGGCTGTGGGAAAAGGCGACGACCATTGCTGCACTGTTACCCTGGACCCGTGTTACTGCTTGCAGCTCCCTTTTTGCTCCATGGGTGGAAGAGCAGGCGAGCAGACCAAAAGTGACAGAGCATGGAGAGCAGAGCAGCCAAAAAGGCAGCAGCCGGCCAGACCTGAAAAAAAGAAGAAGAAGAGACGTCGCCGTGGTCACAACCCAGGTGGGGTCTTTGGAGAGCTGAATGGACGAATGATGACTCTGGATTCTGACAGAATGCAGTATAGCGTCTCCGCTGGTTGGTCGGACCGCGAGTGGGGCCTTAGCCCGAACACGGGCAGTCATATTTACTGCCGGGCGGTCAAAGATTAACTCAGGTACTCCGTACCTACGAACTTCATCGGCCTCTGCAAGTTGTCCATACAAATAGTGCATCCATACTCCGTACGTGGTATTCGCATACGGATAGAGTATTCGTACAGAAGTATTCGTATGTACAGAGCACACCCACATCGTCATGTCGTTGAGATTCTGGAACTGGAGTCGGGCCCGGCCCAAGATTCCAACTGAAGAGTCGGCCGAAGTTTGGATCTGGCCCGTCTCGCCTTGACTTTCCCTCTCGGTTTTGTTGGCCTGACAAATGAGCGTCGGTACAACGAACACGACCGGAGACTGGACGGAGCGTCTGAGAGCTGAGCATGATGGGGAAGGATATCTTCAACCTACCTTGGTTTGCATACTCCGTACCGATACCTGCTCAGATAGAGTGTGTGATGCCATTGAGGAGAAATCTTGTCAGGGAGGTACGTAGTGAACTCCACCGTTGCACCGGGGGGAACATGTCAATCACAGCTCCGGATGACTGATGACTGTGAGGGATGCTGCCATGCTGCCATGCTGCCATTGCCCGGAGCTTCCTGGTGCTGGGGACCAGAGCTACGCAACGGTAGGAGAGCTTGCTGCAAGCCTCGCTCAGGTAGGTATCCGTACGGCGTAGGGGTTCTGGGCTGTTGATGTGGTGTCCAACGATGCGGTATCCATCCGGAAACACTGGCGTATTCCTGTTCCCCCCCTTCAACATGAGCCCTGCATTTGGCTTGCCCACCGCGCAGCACCCCCGTAGACGCCAATGTACCTAGCAAGTAGCCGCCGCTCGCCGGCCGCTGACCATCCTATCCTGTTGCCCCGAGGTACCAAGCCAAGGTTCCTGCCCTATCTCGTTCGTGCTAGCAGCCATATGGATACATAGGCACCATAGGTAAGGTAGGTAGTCATACTGTTGACTGTGTCAGTAGTCAGTGCCAGTGTGCCAGACTAAAAGGCCGCAGCAGACGGAACTTGGCGGACATCCCAGTTCCAGCCCAGCCCTCGAGAGTGAAGAGTCGAGACCGAGACTCGAGAGTCACCCCTCGGCTCGCTCCTTGTCCACCTACGTAAGGTGTCTGGGACGACTTGTCTGGTGCGGGTGAGATGGGCGGCAGGTCAAAGTCAGGGTGGTGCACTACGGCAAGGTACTGATCAACAAAGTATCCGAGCGGCTAACCTGTTACCTGTCCTCGAACCCGGAAGCCCTGACCTGGTTCTGGTTCTGGCTCTGTCTCTGGCCTGGCGTGCAGCGTAGGTGCGGCGTGGACTCTCCCCACCCGTGTCGAGACCTGACTGGAGACGTCTGACTGAGTCTTGTAACTTGCCCGCCTACGGAGTAAGGTAAGGTACCTACCTACCTTACGGAGGGTACTCGACCCCAAGTCAGGCTCGTCGGGGGGGGGCACGGGGGACAGGTACTTCCTTGCTTACCTATCCGCCCCTAAAGTGCTATGTTTGGGGACAAGCCGCCAGTCATGTACCTCGAGCTTGGGGTAAGGTACCTACGGATACCTGGTCTGGATATTGTCGTCACCTCGACTTTTTGGGCATTTCCAAGCTGGGCTGGTTGAGCCAGCTGCGAGACCTTTGGATGGGATTGCGACAAGAGCTTGAGGTGTCAATGATGCATTTCGGATCTAGGCGTGAAGGAAGGGATGTTTTAGCAGAAACATGTAGAGTCCAGCGGGAGTGCGCAAGCTTCTGCAGCAAGATCAAGCCAAAGCAGCAGCATGCACCACCATCATCGTCATCATCGTAATCGCCATGTCTCCCGCCTGCCTACGTAAGAAAGTTGGACTGTGGCCTGCCCGTCTCCCTAGAGCGCCGTCCTGTGCTATTGCCTTACTACGCAACTCTGGCGGTTCACTAGCGCACCATGTACCTTTCCTTGCACCAGCGGCTCAGCTTTCTCAGTGCCCGCCCGCCTGGTGAGGTGTGATCTGACTTCCAATTGTGCTGCTGTATGAAGTGTGCTTCGTACCCAATGGTGGGAAGCCATTCATATGGCATGGAAGGTATCCCTACGTAGGTAGGTACCTTTCTACCTTACCTTAGCTATGGGACTAGGTCGGGACTGTCTTGAGTCTTCCCACCAGGCGGGCCGGCTCCTGCTGCAACTGCCTGTCCCTCCTCCACCGGGGTGCTGCTGCTGCTGCTGCTGTCCTTGCTCCTCCTCCTCCTCACTCGCTCTCTCTCCTCTGCTTCCCCCCCCCCCCCTCTCCCCACTCCACACCCCCCCGACCCGACTCGCCTTTTGCAACAAACCCCCCGTCAGTCTCTCCCAGAGAGGACATTCCCATCCTGCCTCGTCTTCTTCTTCACGTCTTGTCTGCCTCATCCTTTTTTTCCCACCTCAACCATCACTTCGCACACTCCTTGCGAGCTCCTTTCCCTTTCACCTCGCTCCGTCTCGCCAGACATCCAATCCTCTCCTCCCAATCCACCCCCAATCCATCCCATTTTCAATCCCTCATCGATCGATCAGACAAACAAGAACTACCTTCCTTGAACCAAACGCAACCACGTCCACAATTCCAAAAGACCAAGCAAGAGCCCAAAACCACATCCATCCCAGTTCTCCACTGTCTTTAGTCCGCAAACTACATACGTCAATACCTTACGTGCCACATCATCCCACAAAGCTTCATCGACGCCTACGCCGACCACTCGGTATCCGACACTATCAATCCCAACCCATCCGTCCTTTATACCACCGACGCACTTGACGTGCATTACAATACACAAAAAAAAAGAAGCCAATCTTTCATCTGCGTGACTGCCCATCATGGAGCAGCAGCAGCAACAACAACAACAACAGCAGCAGCAGCAGCAGCAGCAGCAGCAGCAGCCGCCGCAGCAGCCGCCGCAGCAGCCAACCGGCGGCGTCCCAGGCCCAACCGGCCGACGGCTTCACATTGCGCACAGGAGAAGCCCTTCCGAGCTGACTCCGTTGATGAGCATGTTTGCCAACCCGGGTAGTACGTTGAATCACATCTCCTTCCATCCTTTCCCCCATCTTCACACGTGAGCTTGCGGCTCCTACGCGAACGCGATGCCCCCGACCCCTCGTCACTCGTTTCATCATACCAATTTGAACCTCGATGCTGACAATGAGTCTTGCTTTGCAGTGGAACAGCTAGCTATCCAGCAGCAGATTGAGCTTTTGCAGCAACAGCAGCAACAAATCCAAGCTACGCAGCAACAATACATGAACATGGGAATGATGCCCCCCACGCAACAGCTCGGCCCAGGCGGTGCTTTCAATCCCCTGCAGCCCGGCATGGCTCCCCAGGGCGCCTTCCAGTTCCCCCAACAGATTCCGCAGCAGAATGTCTCCATGGGCGGTCCTCCGACCCAGCCAATGTCACATCGCCGTAATCAGTCGGCACTCCCCAACATGGGAATGGGCCCTCCTCCCGCTCCATCCTCTGGTGCATCCGGCTCGAACTTCAATGATGCCCCCGGCGCCGGTCCCGGCAGGGAAAACGTCGGTGGCCGTGGCGGCCGCGGCGGTGGTGCCGGCGGCGGCGGTCACCAGCGACGTCACTCTTTGGCGCTTGCCGATGCGAAGAAGGCGGCAGAAATCGCACAGCAGAAGCGAACGACATCCGGCTTTTCCTTCCCCATGTCCCCCTCCACCGAGGCCAGCGCCGAGGGTGGTGCCTCTGCCACGGCCCCTGCTCCGACTCAACCCGAGGCTCCGATTGCTCAGGGTACCAGTGCCGGTCGTGGGCGCGGTGGCCATGGTCGCAGCCAGAGCATGGCTGTGAACGGTCGCGGCGGTGGCGGCACTGGTCGCGGTGGCTTCTCTGGCGATGCTAGCCAGAATGACTTTGGTCGCCGCGGTAGCCAGACTGGCAGCGGTGGTCATGCCAGAACCGGCTCTCGCAACTTTGACGGAAACTGGCGCAACCAAGGCGGTAACCAGGGTCAGGAGCAGGGTGGCTTCCAGCCGGGCCACCGCACTCGTGGTTCCGTGAACCAGTCCATCTCCAACATCGGCGCATTCCAATACCCCGGTCAGCCTCAGCTTATGCAGATGCCCGGCAACATGCTCCCCATGGGCATGTACCCGGGCCAGCAGCTGAACCCCATGCAGATCCAGCAACTGCAGGCCCTCCAAGCTGCCCAGATGGGCGGTCAACAATTCGTTGGCCTTCAGGGCGGCCAGCATGGTGGTCAGCTTGGTGGAAACCAGCAGCAGCAACAGCAGAGAAAGACCCTGTTCACTCCTTACCTCCCCCAGGCCACCCTCCCGGCTCTCCTCGGCGATGGACAGCTCGTGTC